AAGATATAGATGATACAAAGAGATAGATGATTGATAGATACAGAATTTTGAGCTAAAGCAAGGGTAGACACATTTATTAGGAGGTTCATGCTTTTTCACCCAATGTTTGAAGTAAAAGAAAAATGTTAGAAAAGACAAATTAGGGTGATCATCTCCGAAGACTGAAGATAAAGAAGAGTAACAGAGTCATTTGAAATAGATACAATGAGCTATTGTGAACCAGTGCTAGGAAAACCTGGCATGAGCCTCTGAATTAAGAAAATTAGAAGTTGGGTATGGTAGCACAAGTCTGTAATCCCAGTGGCTCAGGAGGCTGAGGCAGGAGGATCACAAGTTTAAAGCCAGCCTTAGCAATTTAGTGAGGCCCTAAGCAACTCAGTGAGACCTGTCTCTAAATAAAACACAGAAATGGCTGGGAATGTGGCTCAGTGGTTGAGTGCCCCTGAGTTCAATCCCTGGTACCAAAAAAATAAAAATAAAAATAGGAAAATATTCAATTCAAAGACCCTGGCATTTGTACCTGGGAAGAAGTAGTATTATGATGTAAGAAAATTGTGTTCCAAATGTGGCTAGAACTATGCTGTTTCATCCCATAGCAGCCACTAGGCATAGTGGCTCCATAGGCTTTTTAGCATTTAATGCCACAACAATTTAGGAACTCAATATTTAGCTTTATTTAGTGGTAACTACCAAAATGCAAATTTAAAATTGATACTCACTTTAAGAATGTTTGGAATAACTTATTTCAATCTTCTTTTTCAGCTGTAAATTTTTTTTGAATTCTAAATACAGATCAAGTTGTTCTGATGAAAATTTGACATTGAAATTGAGATGTGCTGTAAGTATAAGTAACATGAAGAATTTCAAAGATTTTGTACAAAAAGAAAGAATAAATAATGCAAATATGCTTAAAAAAAACCTTGTTAAAATAGCTTTTGTTGAAATAATATTTTCATATTAATATCTCAGAATAAGACACATTATAATTAAATTCATCTGTTATTTTTATTAATATGACTCCTAGAAAATTTAAAATTGCATATGTTGCTTTGTATTTCTTCTGAGAGTATACCTCTAATCTGAAGTACCTAAAGTCTCACAAGTGAGCATAGCACAGGGGAATTTACCTCTCTTGAGAAACCACAGATGTTGGAAGACTTTCCTTTACCTTTTAGGAACTGGAGGCTGAATTGGAGGATAAATCTCCAACCACTCTGAGCCCAACTCTGGCCCTTCATAGTTGTTGCTTTCAGCCTCAGAAAATTCAACCCAAAACAGAAGTCTCTAACTCTACTGGAAAGGGTCTAACCAGAACACCCAGCCTACATCATGGAGCAACCCAGGAGAGTGAATTAGAGAATATATGTAATGTATCAGGAAAGTCATTGGCCTGGAACCAGGGAGCCCAGCCTCAAAGAGTTGTTGATGTTTGACAAATAACTACTCCAATTCACTTAGAAGCTCCTTAGGAAGTTTGGTCCAGCTACTGTATCTTGATCATAACTTGGTAAAACAAACTTATACAAAATTGTCTCTATTCAACATGTCAAGTTAGCACTTAGACTGAACACCACTACAGTAGACATAAATAAGCACTCAAGTCTTCTTGGATGGGCTATGGCCAGTGGAGATAACTGATAGATGCGTATTTGTATTGCAATGTGTAGTACCACTGCAGTTACTTAGGCTTAACTACTACTTGTCATCATCTCAGGGTACAAAATCTTTAAGAGCATAGATGATGGATCAGTCAGTTCTTCTGGGAAGAATCACGAAATATGGCGAGGTCACAGGTATTCTGATTCTTAATTCAATGACTTTTCACTTACACTCCTTTATAAATTTACATTAAATGTACACAAACATATTCGGCAAATTGGAAAGTAAAAGCCAAATGAATTATAAAAATCTGGACAACACCCTCAAGTTCTATTTCTAGTCTTATTTCTTTGGTGGAGTTATTTCTTGTGGGGAATCATCTCGAAGTGAAATTCACATCTTCACTTCTCATTTCCATGCCAAGTATTCTTATTTTGATCTTTTCAGTTGCCACCTGTCTTCTAGGCTCTAGCATTCCATTTTCAACTGCTTGGTGTATTTTCTTTGTTCCCAGAAAACCTCACACATTTAAATTGCACTATAGATAGCTAAGGGATCTGAAGTAGACTTGAAGAGAAGGAAGAAATAGAAAACTCGATTGAAAGTATGGAGCACATTATATCTAAAAGGGAGAGCAACTCCCAACCATGAGGCAGTACTTTGTCTTTACTACATGACACACACATGTCCTTGGGTGATCTGCTTCCTTCTCTGGTCACCATTCAGTTTTCTAATTAGCAAATCTGGTTTCCTAGGAAATGCCATACCTATAAGTGGCTCTTCTCAAATTTAGTGCAGTTGTTTAACATGTGGTGAAGTTCGTTTGCCTTCTCCACATAGCAATAGTTTTATTCAATACATATTTATTGAGCATGAACTATACTGTAGGCCCTGAAAGTACAACATGAAAAGTGGGACAGTTCTAGAAAAGCAAATAATTCAGATACTTGACCTAGTCTAAGGGATCAGAAAGGTTTGTGTAAGGCATTAAATGTTTGAAACAGTGTTTGAGAATGTGTAAAGGTCTTGAGCAAGCAAATTACTGTTGAAAAAATGTTGTTCCAAACCTGGTCTAGAGCAAATTGCTATTGCTTGATGTATTTCGTGGTCACCTTTGAATAAATCAGACTTCTGATAAAACATTAAGCCATTTTCAATAATGATTTAGTTATGAGACTAACATTTGCCTGGGAAGCAGTTACTCCCATATTTACGTGAGAATCAAGAATCTGAGGATCTTTAATTAGTCCTTTCTGTTCCATTTAATCTGCATTTTCTATAAACGTTTCTGCTAGGAAAAAACCTTTAAATTGGCCTCCAAGAAGATTTACAATACAGTGAGATCATAAGAAAACTCTGATCCACGCTTATAGCTATATGTCTAGAAAGTTATCATTGTTCTTGAGTTAGTAATTACCACTAGGTTCTACAGTAAGGCTAATGTTATAGGGAACAGAACCAAATTGGGGTGGTGGACATGGTACAAGAGGAAACCCAGGGCATACAAGATGCAGATTAAGCAAGGGATGGATATCTGAAGCTTATTTTTAAAAACAAAATTCATGAGAGATGAGGGAGATGACCACATTTACATTTTGTAAAGATCAGTCTTTTTATAGTAGTACTACCAATAGAAATTGAGATATAAGGTAAAGACAGACCTAAGCAACATATTTAATTTCAAAATGTCTTGTTGCCTTATCAAAACAGTGAAACAAATCAGGTAAATTCATTTTAACACTACAGTTAATATATCTCAATACTGTTATTGAGAATATTATCATTTTCAACATCTAATCAGTTACTCAGTTGATGAACTTCAACTCTTCTAGTAGAACAGTGAGGTCAAGTTTAGAATTTCCAATAGAGGGGGCTGGGGTTACAGCTCAGTGGTAGAGCGCTTGCCTCGCATATGTGAGGTACTAGGTTCGATCCTTAGCACCACATCAAAATAAATAAAAGTAAAGATATTGTGTCCATTTAAAAAAATCTAAAAAAAAAAGTTCCAATAAAGGAAAGGTTTATTTATTTTTATTTTACAGTTTTATGGAAAATAAACAACTTGAGAACTTTCATTTTCCTCTAAGATTCTACTTTAGAATGTTAACTTAATTTCTATAAACATGGATGACTTCCTGGGTAATAATACATACTTACCCTGATAATGTGTGAACTCCATGTGAAGAGATCTTCTAATGATTACTGATCCAAATAATTTTCACTAAATTAAGAAATATTAAGTTCAGTTACATAACATTTCACCTATTAATCACTGCCCCCAAAAGCAAAAACGAAATAAAATACATTTGGAGCTTCTTGTTAAACATCTTCACTGATAAAAACATAGAACTAAACATTTTAAGGCAGCTTAATGTGGTTGTAAATCAACTACAATTGATGAAAGGCTAGGCAATGTTCAAGGCATTTGCATGTAATTACCCATTTGATCCTCACTGTGATCTGTGAGAGGTGGGTATTATTATTACCATCTTTTCAGAGGTAAGACACTGAGGCACTGAGTTTGAGTAAATTATTCAAGGTCACAGAGAGAACAGTGCTGGGATTCACACTTATGTGCCCTTACATTGCATTTAGCAGAATGAAATTTAAATTTGTTTGTTTTCTTTTCAGGTACTACAGAATGAACGCAGGGCCTTGTGCCAGGCAAGTTCTACCACTGAGTTACATCCCCAGCCCTAAATTTGGGATTGTTTATTTGAATGAGATGAATTGAAGAAACGTCCTGTATCTCTCAAACTGGGTGAAGGAACAAATATACTGATTATAAATCATTATGGATAAATGATCCATTTTAACTAATGCCTTTTTTCTGCTCTAAAACTATTTTAATTCAAAAATTATCTTGCTTGTACCATACAAACATACATTCCAATTGCTGGGGTTAAAGAAAATTACTTTGAAAGATATTATAGTGTTTTTTTAAAATTCTTTTTCATTTTTGAAATATACTCTTAAAAATAAGCAAAAATGCAAAGAATTAGTTTGCTTTAAAATCATCTTTAAAGCTAAATGATCAGAAGAAAATGGAATAAAAACAAAGAAACATTTAATAAGTTGATTTAACTTAGCAAATATCAACATTTTATTTTATATTAATTCTTATTTTATCATCAGGCATATAGGAAGTCTATTAAGAACTTTCTAAAAATATTCATTGAATAAATAATTTTCATTTTGACAGATATACCTATTGTGTTTATTTCTTTACTTAAAAAGTTTTGGGCTTTACCTATGATGTATGTAGAATATAAATTCACACGCATCCCTAATGTTAACAGTGAACGTGAATTGTTCAAGCAACATTTTAAAGCTCGACACTTCCTTGTGCATAATTACCCAATTTTTCTGCATACATAGACACCACACCTTGTTGTCAATAAATAATTCCACTTTAATGGCAAAGTAATAATTTAGACAGATACAGGGTGCACATTTGCAAAAAAATATATGCAAGCTGGTTTACAAGCTAGAGGAACAATAAACCAATAGAAAATACGTCATCCAGTTAAGTCCATTGACACCAAGTACTTATTGTTGGGGCTTTACAAAGACTACAAAACTTTTCAGATGATTTATTTCACTGTTTCTGCCTATTTACATGATATGTTACATCAAAATGTACAAAATATAAAATGTATACAGACAAATGTTTCACAAACTAGTTTAAGTTGTAAACTAGGTGGACCTACTGGCATGTATTGCAGGACTTTCTGTTTATGCTCATGTTTGGACTGTGTTTCTCAAAATGGCAGGGAAAGATTAGCAATTTTCTTAGATCACATATTATACAAGGGCAACTAGTCACTCATCCAGCTACATAAATTGATGGTGCACAACAGATTTGATCCATGTTTGAGGCTTCAAAGTCAGGGTGACAATTCTATATGCATAAATTCAGCTCCAATTCCCTCAGGGCAATAGCACCATGTAAGGACCTATGCACTTAGAAACACTCTGAAAGCGGCACTGATATCTTGGGTTGATGTTATTGTTCTGTAGCAACTGACCCATGGGTGGTCACAGAGGATAGCACCAATTACACGTCCTAAAGGTCACACTTTTTCACACTCACAGAACTAGTCTATGCCATGGCCTAGCCCTTGGGTTTCATAAACCTAACACCTGTCCTCTGTGTGTGATGGTAACTTCTCCAATGACTGATCAGTTTTCATGCACTCTCTTTAAAGCCTGCCACAACAGATGTACTCTCAGACAGTTTTATTTATCCAAAAATGTATTGGCTTCATGTACAGTTTTGAAGCATGCTCACTCTAGCACTGATAGCTCCTGCATAGTCATACCAACTGTAAACACAGGACAAACACACCAGATAATAACAGCTTTGAGGGTTTGCATTCTGTATTTGTTTGCAACGTACAGGAAATCTCAGCAAGTGAAACACCTCTTAACACCAACGGGATAAAATACAATTTTGTTTGTTTGATTTGATTTGTGCAAGTTTGAAAAATTATTATTTACAATACCTACCCAGTAGACTGTGCAAATCTAACCTTCTTTTACAGTATCAACGCTTCCTCTTCCACAGTGACTTTACTGCTTCAGTGTTCTTTAATGCTGAATTTCTCATGTACAACAATAGCAATCAAAACAACATGCGTCAAAACTAATTTTAAAAAAATATATAAGAAAGAATAGGGAAGGAAAGCCAAATAGTTGTGCTCATGCTGCATCTAGTGCTTCCAGCTCTGCTGGATACGAATTCAAAATCTCCCACCTTCTGAAACTCTTTCACTTAGAACTGGATGGAATTTAGCCACGTCTCTGCTTTTCTGTGACGGTCAAAGAGGGTTCCTGGGTTACTCGAATACTTTGAGGATAGGCAAAGCAATCTATTCATGAGATAAAAATACTGATCTTTCTCCTATCCATTTCTTCAAAACAAAACAAAGCAAAACAAAAAAAAAATGATATATAGAGATGAAGCTACTGTGATAACTGGTGTTCTTGGTTGTAAATGAAAAGACAGTGGAAATTACCAATGGTTTAGGATTTAAACCAAATGTTAACTAACCTGTTGTAGAAATCTGTTTTAAGGCAGTGAGACAGCACCATAGGAAATGTTCCTTCTTTCACTGAAAAGGCTCAAACAAATAAAGCCCTAAGAAAGCCTTTTGTCAGTGTTGACTAATAATTGGTATAAAACTCTTGTTAGGGGAGTGGGCAGGTGGTTTAAAAAGACCACGGTGGTAAAAACAACCTTATAAAACCTGGGACTCATACACTAAAAAGTGGGTGGCGCACGTCATGAGACCATGGCAGTTAGAATTGAGTTGGCACTTCTCCAGTTTGCCACAGTAGTGTTTTTTTCTGGTGGTTGCACAATTCCGCTTGTGCTTATGGAGGACTGGCCTCTTGGATTCATTCTGGAATGGGGTGAGCGCACAACACAAACACTACTGGAGCCCTGTGACCAGCACCATGTGGCACAGAGGAGGTTGGACGGATCAGAAGAATGGACCCTGCCTGGGGAGAACAGCCCCTCAGAGGAAACAGAAGGAAGGGACAAAAAAAGGTCTGCATTGTAAACTTTTAAAGAGGAAGAAACTAAAGTCCAGTTTGGCTATCCCATGTGCAATCTCTTCAGTTGCCCTGTCATTAGGGTCCTTTCCAGTTGAGTAATGGAGCCTTCTCTTACTCCATGGATATAAAAAATGCCTAGAAATAAAATAAAGTTAAGCTCCCATTTCAATTTAGCATCTTGGCGGTTCCGACTTAGTTCTGCTGCCTCCTTGAAGACCACGACTCTGGGTCAGGGCCCCTGACAGGGTGCTTTTATACTGGCAGTGGTTTAGTGAAAATACCTTTCTTTTAAAACACTTTTTTTTTTTTTTTAAAGCATCATCTTTTCCCCTAACTCTGTCCACCCTCTAAAGGGTGGATTCAAGAGAAGAATCCAAAACGTCTTCATGGTGGCTGGTGCTACCGCTGTCGCAGCTTTGTGTGCCCGAGTAATTGGCTGCTTCTTGGAGTTTCATTAGCATATTCATCTGAAGAAAGAAAAAGAGACATCGATGGAGGCAATGATACATTGAATCAGCTGGCCCCAGAACAAAGGAGGAGGCTCCAAGCCACCCCAAAGGTCCCCAGCATCCCAACCAAGCCAAATGGGAAAATAGTTCCACATTGTCACTCCTTGCCCCAGCTCCTAGGCTGTTTCCCCCAAACATGTGACTACCACTCCAAACCATAAGGACAAAACAGGGCTGGGAGATAACTCTTTTATTTGGGGCTGTGAATGAATATTGCTCCAGTGGGGAGACTGGAGAGGAAGCTATATCACAGCTGGACATCTGGGTTGGTTGCTGGAGACTCCGCCAAGCTTCCCAGCTTTTTGGCTGGGACAAGCAGAAAGCACTGAATGGCAACAGAGAGTCATGAATGTTCATACACACAGACGCACGCCCAGCCGTGCACTCGGTTCCCGGGGGGGGGGGGGAAGGAGGGGATGGAGTGGAATGAAGCCAGCTGCTGCGCACAAGCACACCATCTGCTGTTTAGGAGCTGACCTCGAGAGGAGGTGACGGAATGAAGCGGACCATGAGCATTTGAAGACGGAGAAGGAAAAAAATCACTGTCAAGTTTTTGTTGTCATTGAATTTCTGGCTGAAATATGATTGATATATCACTGAAAACAAAAACCACCTTCTGGAACAATAGCGGCTGTCTCAAGTTTCCCAGCCTTATAGGAGAATGGTAATGTTTGTTCTAGCAAAAGGACATATGCCTGAAAGCACCTGGGGGGAATGGCAGCTATTCCGTGTATTACAAAATAAAAGGAAGTCACATTGCTTGCCTTTTGATAGATCTGCTGCTCTACTGTTAGAGATAGAAGCGGAAAAAATTTTTTTTTTGTTCAAAAGCAAATTTTGGATAAATAGATGGTATGATGATTTTAGAAAGCACAGAAAAATCAACACGTATCTTAATGAGAATAATGGACATGTTTCTTATCATGGTTTTTTTATACATCAACTTTATATTGCTTAATGCACACTAGTTATCTTCTTTTATATAGTAATTGTAGGTGTTCTTTTTCTTCTAACTGAAAAGAATAGAAAGGAAAAATCTCAAACAGGATCCTCGGTCATAAGATGGGCTATGCATATTTGTATGTTCAGCATAAACTGTGTGTTCAATAAATACTTGTGAAATGAATGATAAACTGGGTATAATCACCAATTTCTGCAAGAATGTCCTTCTGACAAAAGAGGTTACAGTTACTGAATATTTTAAAGTCATCCTTAATAGTCTCAGGACAATACTTTTTGACCTCAATTCAGTCTTTCGGTCTGACTCTCTGAATGCACTAAGTCACCTACATGAGGATTAAAAATAAAGGTAGATGTGATAACCTTTTAAATCTGGCAAGCCAAAAAGCCAAATCAATCTCTCTGTCTCTCTCTTCCTCTCATTCTCCCCACCCCACCCCCCTACATTCATGCACATTCATATGCCCTCCCCGTGGTCTTTTGTCTGCCTCCTTAGCAGCTGGCTGTATGTTTAAGCATTTGGGAAACTGATGTGTATAACAGAACTGTGTTTGGAGCACCCTCCTGATTTACTAGGAATAGAAATGGTAAAGGAATCTGTTAAGAGGGATAGGATTCTATTGCAGCCAAAAATGTTTGGAACTATTTAAATGCTAAATATTGTTAAGGTTTTGCAGTGTAATAATAGTATAATTAACATCTTAAGTTTTGAAAATGTTGCCATGCAGTAAATATGTTCCATTAGCGTAAGATCCAAGCTCAGATTCCTAATAAATATATACAATGAGATTTGCTTTGCCTCCTCGTAGTATTGCTTTGTTCACTGATATCCAAGGAGATTACAAAAGGAAGGTAAACTTATGGGTGATTCAATTATGACAGGTCATAATCCTCTGTGAAAGTGGTCTCCTTTGGTTTTCTTCTGCTGCTCCCCTGTGTCCACAGTCATAATATAATGTCCATCATTTCTAACACCTTGGTCAGTTCTTAGGTGTTCCTAGCAGAACTATTAGTTTCCCAGCCTTTGTCCCTCTCCTTCAGTCCATTCTCTGCTTTGTTAGCAAAGTGATTTTTAAAACTGCACATCTAACTAGATAAGTCACTATTCAAAAACCTTTAGAGACTCTCCGTTGTCTGTGTGATAAAGTTTGACTCCATGCAAAGATGCACAGGCTTAACATGATCCAGCAATTATTTACTTCTGTAGTTTTAATTCCTCTGACCAACTCCAACATAACTCCCCAAATTCATAATTTTTATTATACTATAATTTTTCATGTGCTGTTTCTTCAATTTTGGATGTTCTTCATCCAACCATATGATAAACTCCTATTCATCCCTCAAGGACCAGATAAAGCATTTCTTCCATGAAACTTTCTCCTAATTATTTTCTCGATAGACTCATAACTTTTCCTACAAAGTCCATCATTATTTTACTGTAATTTATGTAGGCAAACATCTTGCTCCACTATTATATTGTAAACCTCGTAAAATCAGAAATGATAACTTACCTAATGATCACTGAATCTTGGCACTAGGTACATGTTTATTAAATTTCAGCTTTTTGATGATGAATGCCCACCATATTTTTAAAATAAGGTGAAATGTGTCCCAAAACTTGTATTCTTGTTCAGATTTAAAGCCAGACTTCTGATATTAAATAGTAAATTTTCCCTAAGGTGTTTGTTTATTTATTTTTGGCAGTGATGGCAGTAGTGCCCAGGGCCTCACACATGCTAGGCACTGAGCTAAATCTCTACCCTTCCTAGGATTTCTGATATAGACTCATTTGCAAATATAGTTTTCCTTATGTCAGTAATTATAGAAATATACAAAAATGAAGGCAGGTAGAGAATATTTATTTTCCTATCAGGATGTCTGATCTTAAGATTTATTTTTAGATGATATCTTTGGCCATTTAGTATGCAAGATATCATAATCTCTTCTTTCTTTAGATTTTTGTTAAAGTAGCAGATAAGACACCTGAATTTTTTTTTTTTTTTTTGCTCCAATTATCCTGTCAGGATAGGAAACCCTGGCTCTCTTTCCTGCATTAGAAGACAAGGAAAAAGAATGCTTAAAAAGGTTAGCCCTAGGACTGGGGGATTGGGAAGCTGAGGTCATTTCCAGAGCATTCCACAATCTATAGACTAACAGTGAAAACAAAGCTTATATATAAATATTGCTCCTTATCTAAAACAGACATACTATAACAAAATTACACAGATTAGATAGGAATTACTAAACATTCAGATTAAATAATCCATACTTGTATGTTAAAATTTACACTTTACTAAATTTTATCCATTCTATCAGCAATTATTTAGTATATGATAATCATTATGCTGGATTTAAACCAATTCCACTACCACTGTTGATTCTAGGTACCATGTTATAAAAATGTGAGTCTTGGCCTTCATGAATTAGGCTAGATCATTTATCTTACACATAGGAACTCTGGACTCTAAACATGTCTTTGTGCATATTTCAGAGATTTTATAGAACTCTTGAAATAGTTTGCAAAATTTTCTGTGTGGGTATATCTTGAAAGTTTATTGGATGTTCTACATGTAACTCCCAAAATGTTAAGAAGGATCAGCTGAGATGATGATGATGTTCACATACTGGGTTACTGGTATAAGATCATTCCTCAAAATTTTAAGTCATTTTATGTCCTTGGGTAGACTCATAAGTTCTGATTTTCAATTATTTTCTTTTAAGTAAAATATTAGCCTTATTTCAATATCTTTTCTTTCTGTATTGGTTGTACAAATCCAATGATCCCTTGAATCATAGAATGATAAGCTAATAAACACATAGAATGATAAGCTAATCACATTTGATACTAACATACAGAAAGTAATTTATAAAAATAAAAATAGATGCAGAAAAATCAGCATCTATTCCTAAAAATACTGTCTATTTAATAATTTTCTGAATATTCATACTTTGGAGTTCTATAGGCTTATTCAAATTATTCGAATATTTTAAAAACTAAAACAATATACGTTGCAAATTGAGCAAAGCAAGAAGTATAACTTCCCTTTGATTTCCCCGCCAGTTTATCCTTCCCTATTATAGTGAACAGAAGACCAATTCTGAATTTAATCAGGCTGGTTGATACATGTAAAATATACTTTAGTATACATTAGATCATAATCTTTGGTTTTCTCATTTAAGTACAAAATTCAGTTTTCTTCTAAAGGCTTAGTGAACTGAGTTATGTTACTTAAAATTTATTTATTTGTTAACACAATGCAAAATAAGAGAGATATTGTAGTCATGAAGTTCAAACTGGTTTCAGAATTTCTTGACTGTTTTTAGCATACAGTTTTAGATTTCTTTGTATGAATTTCATCCAACTAAAGCAGGCTAAAGGTAACAACTAAAACTGAGTACCAATATCAAGGCAGTCCCCAATATTACTGAAGATAACCCATGTCTGTGATGCAGATGACTAAATGCTAATAAGCACACAACAATGTCAGGATTCTATAGCAAGAATCAACCATCAGTTTCTCACCAGGGGGTCCCCCTCAGTGTCTGTCTGTGGAATGTGCTTTGAGGTTGTGGCTTCCTTAGCAGAGGTGCAGCCCTCATATCCAACATCTTCTGGTCGCAACTGAAGTAATGCTGGTCCTTCCTGAGGCAGAGAGGCTGAGCTCCATGGGTATGTGTCAAGCACCCACTTTAAGGGATCTTCCCAGGGTGCACGCTTCCCATACATCTGAAAGTTAACCACAGAGTTGGTACATATAAAGTTAATTTCTACTAAGTAAAAATCCTGACTCCTTATCAAGTGTTTCTTTTGCACTTTTGAGTTCTTATGGGACTTAGGGAATGAAGACATCTGTATATAGTTTTCTAGATTGTTCTACATAGCTCACTTAAAAGTTGAAGGATGGACAAAATGAAACTGAACATCTGGCCACATAATCAGTATTTGAGGGATAATATGAGGAAGGCTTTTTATTAATACATGTAGACATTACTGCCCACATTTGTCTTTATTAGTTTTACAAACCATGATAAAACTCAATGAGAATAACTAAAAGCTCCAGTTTGGGAGGATTTAAAAAAACGAATTTTTATAATTAAAAGAGTCTGCTACTGAAGTACACTTTAGATCAAAAGAAAAAAAGACTTTTTCTCTAATTCATTCAAACTTTGAGATCAAGAATCCATTCTCTGATGGTAATTGCCTTCCTCTAATAGTTCCAAGACTTCCTGTAAAAACTCTTTTTAAATGTTTATGTAAAAGATGACTAGGAAAAGAGGAGGAAAAATAGGAAACTAAAGTTTCAAGAATTTATATGGAGGCAATGAGCCCAATAAGAAAAAGATGACCCAGCATAGCTAAAGTACTGGCTGTGGAGTAAAGAGAGAAAAATAAATCCAAGAGGTATTAAACATTTTTAATCTGGAAACAATTGAAAAAAAAAAAACAAAAACGAAACACTATGAAGACAGAGGGTGATGAGAAAAAAAAAGCACAAGGCCATAAGGGACCCAGAAAGAACAGAACAGTTAAAATTGAGAGAAAGAGGTGGTGATGTTGTTCCTCTCTTAGCCTACGTCACTATGGACGACCCTGGTTACCAGGTATGTATCCAATCTCACAGGACATATAGTGATGACTGGTCCTCTGCATAGTTTGTTGTGGTTGGAAAAAAAGTGACATGTGGCTATGGCAATGAAAAGTCTATGCATTGCTTTTGAAACTTCCTGAAGAAGTTATGTAAGCATTTTCAGTCTAACCTAAAAAAAGAAAAAGAAGAGAGAAATAGAGAAAGGGAAGTCTAGTTCCTGACATCTGTGTACTTCCTTAGGAGATGATGGCAGAGGTAGCATTTTGAATCTTTTTAAAAATAGTTCTCTTGTTTTAGAACAGAAGGTTTCCTCTCTGCCGAAAACCTGCTTTATAAAGGAAGTAAAATATAGCTTGCTAGACAAGTTGAAGTAATTGAAGGAAAATGTATAGTTCTTGGAAAGTTTATATTAAAAGAAAGAAGAATTTGAGTCTAGAATCAACCTTAAAAAGAACATGAGAATCTAGAAGCAACCAATGCCAGTCTGTTAAGGAAGCATCCAGGACAGCCAAGTTGGAGGTGACAATAAAAAGCTAAACCGGCCCAACTCTGTATTCTGGAGTGAGATCAATATTATAGAAAAAGGATGAAAAGAAATCTAAACATTCAGAATAAGATGAACTGACTGCTAACATTTCAAGAAAGAGTCATCAGAATAAAAATCAAATCCATTGCTTCACTAGCATACTTTCCAAGTAGACCATGTGGCACAGAGCACTTCCCAGATGGTTCCTCACCAAAGCATTAGCCTTCATCTGAAAAGAGATGGTTTGATTTCTCTCAACTCAGAATGTCATCTTGGCTACCAGGCTTCATTGCTTCTTTTCACCTCTTCTTCCTGTTCAAGGTGTTGTGTTGCCATGGATCCAAGAGAACTGTCCATGGCATGTAAGACTCTTTGTTTACTGCTCCCCCCCTGGGTTCAAGGATGGGGATCCTAGGGAGGCCTTCTGCCAGGGGACTTTTCTGGCCAGCTAGCCTTCAAAAGCAACAAATGCCTACCCACTAATAGGCTTTCCTTTTGTTCCTATTCCACATTGTTCTTTTCTTCCTGTTCTCTAGTCTATCCCAACTCTTACTTCACCTCATGGTTGATTCAGCTTTCACACTAACCTCCTCCTGAATACCTACAACCATAGCAAGAGACTTGAGACAGATTCATTCCTCCTCAAAATAACTGTCAAGTATTTATCTCAATTTAATTTGGAAAATTGCTATTACTTAAATGATTATAGTTTTGCTGAAATACAAGCTTTATATAACTCTCAGGATAAAGTTTTCCAAACAATATTGATTAAAAAACAAAACAAAAAAAAACTCTTGCAGCTTTCAAAAGGAAGCTAAGGATTTTTTAGGTATAATTGTTCTGGGTTTAAGAAAAGATTCCTTTTCTTCCTATTAGCAAGCAAATATAAAATAGAATTTTATATATAAAGATTTAGATGAGATCTTAATATTGAAACTGAGTCTCAAGGACAAATAATTCATTTGGTTATTAATTTAAAAATATGATTTCTATATTGCAAATAGATTCTCATAAAATTATTTTTGCATAAATTATCAAAATTGAGCGACCTGAATTATATCTTTGACAGCATAATAGTTTTAGGAGAAATATGATCTGTTATATTTGAAAAATCAAAACCATTGGCATCATCTCTTATTTTATTGGAACTACTTACTGGGACTAGATTCATTCATACCCCTCAAAATAAGAAACTGGATTATTTAAATCTGGAGTTAAAAACAATCAATAGAATTGTTAGCATCCTAACTTCATCTAAGGATTCAGAACATCTTCATAATGTTTACCATGTTCACCAGAATTACATGGTAGTTCTAAGTACTGCTACATCAATCTACTAGAAGAGAGAAAAATAGTGACAGGAAATGAAAGAATAAAAAATACAGGACCAATTTTTTTAGATAGTAGAGACTTAACAAGTATTACAGATGACAGGTTTTTGAAAATATGAACTACATCTTAATTCTAGTAGCAGTTGGTTGTGAAAACCAGAAATAAAAATGTCCAAGCAAAAACTGACTAAATCCTGGCTGAGTTATTGAAAAGGAGATTGGATTCCTGCACAGTAAGTTGGATGATTATGTAATATAAATCTTAAAAGAGTTTTTAATTCTCCAATTTCATGAAATTTCAAATCCATTTTAAGGAAATAGCGAGACTGATGGAAAAAGGATAACTTTTTGATTTGTTTCGTTCTGAAGAAACAGGATTTTCTTATTATTGACCTATGTTTGCCTTTTAGATAAGCTTAAACAGAAGGAGAGGTTGTAGGGCCTCATGACACAGGGCAGATAAGAGGAACAGCAGAGATGCTGCTAAAACTACCTGTTGTGGATTAAAGAAAAGAAAAAAAAAAAAAAGGCCAACTAACTTTCTTGGAATTTAGAGCACTCCCTTAATAATAGTAAAGGCTATTACAAGTCATATTGAAGGACTTCAATTAATGAAGAATTCTAACACACAAGCAAAAACTACTTGCTGCAAATTGTGATAAGCATATAAATGGTCAAGGCTCAGGCGAAAAAAACATGCCTGTGTCATAGAAAATAGAACTACAATAACGTGGCATTCTAATAAGAACAATCTAAATATCCCCTGCAACTAATTTGGCCTTGAAAATGTAGTTGCTGAAAGAAATGTATTTATTCTCTGTTGAGAGCCACAGCCGAAGGGGCCCCAGCAAACTTCCAGCTGCCAGCAACCAGCTGCCGGCTGATGGGTCAAATAATGGTACAGCAGCAGTAGTTACCCCTGATCAAACTTTTACATTTTTAGTACCCAAACAATCAGCTCAAAAGGTAGAGCTTAATGCAGTTTTACAAGCTTTTGTGATGTTTAAAGATTCTGTATTTAATTTATTTTCTGATAGTCAGTATGTAGTTAATGCTATAGTATCTCTTGAAGATGCTGGTAGGATTTCCCCTTCTTCTACTGTTTTCTCTTTGCTTTCCACTATACAAAGTCTAATCTGGGACAGAAAAGATCCATTCTTTATAGGACATATCAGGGCACATACAGGATTGCCTGGAGCCCTTAGTTTGGGCAATGATTTAGCAGATAAAACTACACATGACATACATATTTTCTCTACACTAGAAGAAGCTATAAATTTTCATAAAAAGTTCCATGTCAATGCTAATACTTTACAAAAGCGTTTTAAAATAACTAAGGAACAAGCTAGACAAATAATAAAACAATGTCAAAATTGTGTGACCTTTTTACCACAAGTTAATCTTGGAGTCAATCCTAGAGGATTGATACCTAACCATATTTGGCAGATGGACATCACACACTTGCCAGAATTTGGAAAATTAAAATATTTGCATGTTACAGTTGATACTTCTTCTGGATTTTTGATGGGCTCCCTTCATGCCGGAGAAAAAACTAAAGATGTTATAGCTCATTGCTTACAAAATTTTGCCACTGTGGGTGTTCCAAAACAGTTAAAAACAGATAATGCCCCTGGTTATACTTCTACCTCTTTTAAACAATTTTGCTCAACATTTGGCATTACTCATATAACAGGAATCCCATACAATCCACAGGGACAAGGCATAGTTGAAAGAGCTCATCAAACTATTAAAATGTACTTATTAAAGCAAAAAGAAGGAATTGGGAAGGGGTATATATTCCCCGTACGGGCCACCAAATGCCGCAGTCTGGCTGGGCATAATCAGGAGCCACTTGTCAAAAGAAACTAACTTTATTTTTAGAACCACACACGCCAAACAAAACAGCCTCTCAGGAAAAACCCTCAGAGCCTCAACTGCCACCACCGGCTTTCCACAAGCCTCTCTCTCCCCCCCAAGCTTCTCTCCACCTCCCACAATCCTCCTTCTCTTGAGGCCGATTGGCTGGGTCACGTGGGCGGAGCCAAAAAAGTCCCCCAATGAGCAGCTCCGTGGTCTGAAAGGGCAGGGAAACAGCCCAATGAGCATCACCGCAGAGGAGCCAATCAGCTAGATGTTGCTGGGGCCGCTGTGAGCCAATCATCAGCCGGCAGCTGGTTGCTGGCAGCTGGAAGTTTGCTGGGGCCCCTTCGGTTGTGGCTCTCAACAATTCTCTCTTACATCTTTGTTGTCATAACAAAGTACTGCATGCTCATTGCTCTTTTCTTGCTCTATCTGTATTACATGCTTTTAGTTTTCTGCATAAATACAGAAATTAATACTTTTTTGCTATTAAAAGAATAACTTTTCTTTTTGCTTTGCTTTTTAGATAGCAATGCAAAATGAATACTATACCTGAAGACCCTCTCTCACTGCCTCCAGAATATAAGGTACCAAAGAATAGTTCCAAAGATCCATGAACCACACTCTAGAACCTTCTACATCCATGGGGCAAGGAAGGAAAAGTCGGGGACCTGAGAAGACACAAATAACAAAATATGTTTGAGAAATATTATAAACACATATTTAGACACCATTTTGGGAGACTTAATTTTATTTCTTTCAGCATTCTTAGAGAATTATAATCTCACCAGCTTAATCATAACTGAAGCATGTTTACTGAAGATCCCATTTCCTGGCTATTCCTTTTAAAGTTTTATATTAAAATATTAATCTAAAGCACAATATGAGAGAGGAGAAAGGGTAAAGGTCACAATTTAGTCAACCTGTCCTATTTTACAAACAATGTAAAATTCAGCTGTGCTGAAATGAATTATTGAAGATAAAACGTGTCACTGTAGAATTTGGTCTGAGTATGGATACTCTGCTCCAAGCACAGAATTCTTCCTAATCTGTGCTTGTATCTGTAGTCAGAATGTTTTTATGATCTATAACAATGGGAAAGAGATTTATGTACATGCAACTTAAGAGGTAACACAAAAATAAACTAGTTATAACTGTGAAAGAGAAATAATTCAGCTTTTTCTTCATGAAAAATATAAAACACCTAAAGTGTCTATAAAATATCTAAATTATTTTCAACTAAAATCTTCCCTCACATCTATCTTTGAGATGAGTTAATTTGTGTTTACATAGTGTATCCTAAACAGATATTATTTATTTTGAAAAGTTCTCTGATATTTACATATTAGTCTGTATCAAACTTCTTTGATTTCAATAATATTTTAGTAAGCTATAATTGTCAGACAAAACGAATCTAATTAGTGAAACAAAACTTGGAAGAAGACAAACTTTTAGAAAGCAAAAAAAGAAGTTAAATCTTTGGAAGCTTGAAAAACATTGGCTTTGCTTGTTGTTTTCTACCATCCAATCTGGCCATCTTTACCAAGTACTCCTGGTTCCTGGAAAATGGCATATTATAATTTTGGAACTCACCAATGGTAACATCAGAAGAACTATGTGTTTCCAAAAAACTGTTCAGATGATGCCACGTCTTAGGAATCCAATCTATAATTTTGACTAAGTCATTATTGCGTATGTTCCTTTCAATTTCCATCTCTATCAGTTTCCTTCGAAGATATCTGCCTAAAAAGCCTTTCACTGGTTCTGTGTGGTTTGCACACAATACCCATCTGTGAAAAGAAAAATAAAGTGAGAAATTTTTATATAAATTAAATTTAATCCCACAGTAACTTTAGTAATAATATTCCTATGTCAACTGAGGGCCACATTTTAATGATCCAAGCAGTTAGGAAGTCTATCAGCATTAGTTTTAATGCTGCAAATGCCACCAGCTAAAGAGAAGCTTGTGTGCGTCAGAAGTGAGTGGGTGTCTACATGCTGAGCCTTCTTTTGTAGGAGAATCACGAATCCTGAAATAGGAACTCTCTTCACATTCCTCACACTTAGAGGAAAAGTGCTCTGCTCAGGCAGGGGAACACAGTGAGCAGGAAAAACATTTCTATTCTTCTCTCTTTTTAAAGAAACACTTCTGATTATAGAATGAGGATCACAAAATGTCTTTTTGAAAAAGTGTCAGAAGAAGTGAGAATTATTTTCACATCACAGGTCACCACTGGCAGGATATGAAAAAGAACAAATGGAAGAAACAAACAAACAAACCACCAGAAACGAACAAAAAGAAACACCATGGGGCAGGGGTGGGGAGGAGTGGGGTGGTGGTGGGGACAACAACAGCAACAACAACCAAAAAAAAAAAAAAACACCCAGAAACCAAGAAACAAAAACATCCTTTGACTAATCTTTACCTGAAATTGTGGTGCAGCTCTAGATTGGGTGATGAAGAAACTCCCTGATTCATTGTTCCAATAATATATGGACTAGGTAAAAATAAAGAATAGGAAATTCAGATGTGTTAGAGGTAAAAATGACTAATACATTAACATCGCCTGTGAAAGCTATTAAGATAAATATGGATTATTCCATTTTAACAGTAGGCTTTAAAAGGGTCATTTTGTAATGTTAGATTGGAAAATGACAAAGATTATTGGAATAGAAGTTACCATGGGGGTTCTAAGTATGGCATTAGGATGCAGGAGAAAGACCTTCTTTGAGTCTGAGTTTACTCATCTACAAAGTAAAGAGGCTATGGTCTTGTCCCACTCAAACATCTTATAACTCTTATGCTTGTATTCAAATTTATTACTTATTCCTATTTTAGTGTTTTATAGTTATTTAAAGATTCTACATAATATAAGAGGGTTTGTATTCTTCCCCCAACCCTTCTTTATGCTGATATAATTCTAACATTTTATCACTATCAGAGATTAATTAATTAGAACATCTGGTACCATTAAAATAGATGTCACGTATGCTGATTGTGTAATTAAATGTCCTTTCTTTAGAGATAAGGCTATAATAAATCTTAGTGGGTTTTCAGATCTTTTTATTCCCTACTCTAACCTTTCCTTTTGTTTTAAATAGTAAAAACATAATATAGGAGGGGGTCACATATGAATGAATTAAATTTACTTCAGGAGTTGAATTTAAACTTTGATACAAACTGAAAAGGAAACTGGAGCTTTAAAATCGCCTTCTAGTTATGAATTTCCCTGATTTGAACTATTCCATCATTGACATTGTCTCTCAGACTTTCAGCATGTCTGTAGAAGATAACATCATTAAGGAAGTAGTAAAAGTGCTAGGACACAGTTATTGAATGAATAGATGTTCTAAGGAATACGTGAATTCTTTGGTATACAGTAAAAATATATTAAATAGGGGTTCTCAAATTAATGGCATCCATTGTAGGTTTTAAAATTTTAAAAAAGGCACAAGAAAGCAAATAACATGACCATTTTTTATATTTGATAATTCAAGATATTTTATAAACATACCATTTGCTATATTTACAGTTGAGGAAACCATTGAAGATATCACTCAAAGAGCCCACATGATGAAGATTATCAAGAATTATTACAACTGGGAGCTCTACACCATTATTATCAGCACTGCACTGTTCAGCCAGGTTAGCTAGATATTGTTGCAATTCCTTTAAAACACAAATAAGGCAAATACATGCATGATAAATTTATACCAACGACAAGCAATTCATATTCTAGGAATAACACAATCTATCTTCCATCCATATATATATGTATATTTTTTCATTAAAAGTCATAGAGCAGTCTATGGCTATAAAAACATTATATAAAGCAAAAACAAAACAAGCATTTAACAATGAGAAGATAAGATTTTTAAAGGAAAGACAGAAGAGGATAAGCAAAAAGAGTATCTGTAGCAAATACAAAACTCTAAATGAAGGCATATTTCTCAGTGATTTACATTCCAAAAGAAAAGTCAAAGAAAGTTCTAGATATGAACTCTCCTCCCTCCCTCCCTTCCTTCCTTCCTTCCTTCCTTCCTTCCTTCCTTCCTTCCTTCCTTCCTTCGTGCTAGGGATTGAGCCTAGGACCTTATGCATGCTAGGTAAGCACTCAACCAACTGAGCTATATCCCCAGCCTCCTAGATATGAACTCTTATGGTAAACCATAAATATAAAGACTTCATTCTTGCTTTTGATGTTTCAATGACTAAAATGGATTTAAACATAGTTATAACTTCATGTATACACTAAATCCAAAGTGGAACCTCCAAGCTTCTACCAGCATTTGTTTTTTTTAAAGAGAGAGAGAGAGAGAGAGAATTTTTTTAAAAAATATTTATTTAGTTAGTTTTTTAGTTTTTCGGCGGACACAACATCTTTGTTTGTATGTGGTGCTGAGGATCGAACCCAGGCCGCACGCATGCCTGGCAAGCGCACTACCCCTTGGGCCACATCCCCAGCCCCTCTACCAGCATTTTTAACATTTCAATTTTGATTAATTTAGTTGGGTGTGCATCTAAAAGTACAGCCATAGGACTCTGATTAAAATGTGGATAATAGATTATTTGTGTAGACTCTTTGAGGAAACCGCTGCAATTTTAAAACAAAGACAACTTGTTGTATTTCATAGGATCGTTTAATATTAGCACTTAGAATTTCTTGAGCTTCCTGATTCTTTTACAGGTACTAGTCCTAATAGCTTTTAATCTAAATATGATAACCAGTTCCATGATTGGCCATTCTCACAGATGGGTAGGCCAGAAACATAATTAGTTTTCTTAGAATTATCCTAATCAGTAAGAGCATTTCCATAATATTTGCATATTTACAATGACATTTTCAATTTGAATAACTTGCTCAGGGTTAAAAAACAATTCCAGAATCCCAATTTCTGGCAGCCAGGTAAATATAAGAACTACTCACTCTAAATGCTACTTTGTTCTGTCTGTAGACAACTTTAAGAACTATAAGTGAAAGGGACTTAAGACATTTGGTAATATTAATTTGTTAATAAAATATTGAGTTCAAATATAAAATTTAAATATAAAATATTAAAGACTTTTATATTTAATTTATTAAATATCTAAGATACTGTTTTGTTGTGTCACAGAACAAAGATACCATAAAATAGAATAGAACCAGTCACATAAAATAAATGTTGCCAAAAATCAGAAATAAAGATAAAATTTGTTTAAAACTAGTAAAAAATCTGGAGGATTTAATTTACCTTAAAAAAGAAAATGAAATTTCTATCACGCATCTAGTTATCTTAAGTCATTAATTAGTTCATTTATAAAATGTTCTCTTTCTACTATGTTTATAAGTTTAGATCCTACTGCCTTCCTCCAAGAGCTCTAAAAGGTATCATATTAGGCACTGAAATTTAAATATAAGAAAGCATTTCTTATAATATCAAGAGTGTCTTATGAAACTTGAGAAGTCAAGGGAAGAGATTTCACCTAGCTGGGAGCTTCAAGGACAGTTTTCTGAAGCACATAGTGGTAGAGCTTGGGGAGAAGGTAGGCACACATATGAACAATGAACTTACAAAAAATATCATGCCTAACATTCTGTGAGAGGCTAAGGGAGGCCTGTAGGAGACAGAGGGAATAATTCCAACTGGGGGTTCTTAAGGGACTTCATAGAGAGGATGGGATTTGAGAAGAACCTTGAATAATGAGTAAAATTCCAACTGAAAAGCTTGCAGTTATTTGTTTTTTCAACACATCTTTATCAAGCACTTAGTAGGTCCCTGGTACTCTGGCACAGGGATTCAAAGGTAAAACATAATACCTGTGCTCCAGAAAGTTACAGCTGATAAGCAGAGAAGCAGGCCAACAAGTGAATCACAATACCATGCTAGTGAAATGCAGAGCCCTACAGGGAGATGTAAGAGAAATATGTGGCTAGCCTTCAGGTTCAATGACAGGAGGCAGTGGAGGAAAACTTCAAGAACAATTCAAAGTTGGAAAGTATGAGGGCATGATGTATTTTGCAAAACAGTAATGATTCTGTTGTTACAGGAGAATATACTATATGGTAGTAGTGTGTACAATGGAAGAAAAAACAAAGACTTTGGATCCACGTAGAGAAAGTCGGATTTGACTACATGAACAACTGTGAGCCACTGATATGTTTGTTTGCTTGTCTGTCGTCAGCAGGGGAGAGCAATTTATTAATCAAAGGAAACAGAAATGTGAAGGATATAATGACTAATTAGAAATGGAAAAAAATTCAAGAAGCTTATTACCTAGAATAGAAAGTTAGGCATGTACATATATAACTATAATTAACAGTCAAAAAACATACTACTTGCAAAGATCAAAGATTTTGTTTACAGCACATAAAGATTAATCATAGCTTCTAAAAAAGAATTTCTGGTGGCAGTATTATTTGCTACTAACCCTTTATTTTTAGGATTAGGTAATATTTTGATGCTCAAAAACAGGAGAAGAGCATTCCAAATGGAGAAGAATAATCAAAAGCAGAAGCAGGTAAATATGATAATCATGTAGGCAAGAATGAGTAGTACAAGGTTTGTGAAAGCAAATAAATTAGAAAGTAAATAAATTAGAAAGGAAAGTTTGCAATATTAAATAATAGTTAAGATCAGTGGAATTTTCCTGTTGGTGATGCAGAATCATTGAATACTCTGGGGAACTACATAAAATAGAATTGTAACTGAACAGTGTGGTAAGTATATTGTGAAGGAAGTAGACTAGACCAGAGAATACTGAAATCGTTGAAGCCAAGAGACTGTATGGGTCTGAATAGGGAACAGTGTGGTACTTTTGATCTAGTTCGGAAAGCAATGGGAAAACATTGGATGATTTTTAATTAATTATGAAAAGATATTCTGTTTTTTTATGATGTGATTGGAGAAAGCCCACAAAAGAGTGAAAGGAAATTTTAGGGGAATAGTGAATGAAGCAGTTAGAAAACAAATGTAAAGTTCACATGATAGAGTGTGTTAGTTTTGGGAGGGAGGGTGGTTTTGGTTGAGATGAATGGAAAAGGATGCACTTCTAATGTTTCTTTCATAAGTGAAGTTATCCTTTATAAACATGTATATTCATTAGATGAATGAAAACATGTGTAAGCTCAAAGAGAATTTACAAACTTGGGAGAGTGTTCCATTCATGTCAACCACATAGATCAACACAAGTTGAAGCCATGGGAGCTGTCCAAAGGAGAACAGAATGAGAGAGAACTGAAATGTAGGGGAGTATTTCCATTTAGTGGTAGGTGAAGAAAGAGCAGTCAATGAGAGGCTGAGAAGAAACTTACCAGGAAAGTAGCAAAGAAATAAGGAGAAAATAATAACTCTGACATTAGAAGAATTTCTATAAAGGGGAGATCAACTATAGCAATATGCTATAATGAGAGAGAAAGAGAGAGAGAGAGAAAGGAGTGTGGGGAGAGGGAGAGTGTGTGTGCACAAATGGGGGACAGTTAGAATGAGAGAGAGAACAGAGGCTGTATTTGGTAATTAGGAAGTCGCTGGGTAAATTTGGATAAGCACAGCTATCACATTGTTATGTAGTTCTTTTTCCTCTTGAGAGTGGTAGTAGATCCCTTGGGATCTAATAACAGCTACAAACCAGGAAGATATACAGACATTCATAAAGATTTTTTTTTCATATTTCTTATGAGTATTTCACAGACCCCTTTGAAATTGTCCATGCTCCTCCCTCTGGCTTGATGGGGATGGAATCTTAGATCAAGGTACTGATGCATTAAGTTTCACATCCATATCTACTTAGGTAGAAGACAGCAGGTGTATCTACCGGGTGGATATGAACAATGAGATGAATCCTATATCTCTACCTTGAAAACACAGATAGAACGTTATAGTTACATAAACACTGTTGATCATTGCTTTCTCTGAATTTCACTCCAGACACACTAAAATTGAATCTGCCAAGTCCAACTTTCTGATCTTTTCCAACCTAACATTCCAGGTGGCTTTGGCTGGCCACATATTCTTCACTAAATCCATCTCTAGCTTTCTGGGCCTGCTATATCAAATGTCACAAAGTGTAATTGTTTATGTGCACTGCTCTCAATCAAAATATTCCAGCTGGCAGCCTGAGGGAGGGCTTGAAGTGTGGGAAGAGGAACAGAATGTAAAATGAAGAGGTACCAAAAACATGAAAAGATTTTTTTTTATTTGATGGTTTATTGTTTGATTTTTTTTTTTTTTAAATCTGTAAGTGCTTTAGGGATGTATGTCTTCAGTGCTCTCCATGGCATAGCATAAAAAACATCAGAATTACACAGCTCCAATTTTTTTCCAGAGGATAGATTTATCATTTCATTCCTCATTAGCATCTTACTTTAGTCAATCCATACTCTTAGCAGCTATTCCTAGCACAAACTCAACTTGTCGTTCCCTCTTCTTTAATATCATCCTCACTTACACCAATCCTCGCCTCCCCCAAATAGTGTAGATTCTCTGTCAACTTGGAAAGGATTAACCAAAGTCTCTGGCAATGACTGCTTATCCAGCATTACTGACAGCTCGTTCATATCTAACAGCCATAAAGAAGCAATAAACATTTTTCAGTTGTATTTTGTGTTCTCCCAGTGATTAATGCCATCTGATTTTTCCCCATGGGTTTCTTCCTATTACTGTTTCCAAGCATCATTACTTCCATTCAAACACTCCTGGAAATGCTTTTCTCATTCCATTATTTTGCAAAAGCAAATATTGAACTGACCTAACAATGGCACAAATGATCTTTATTTTTAAAAAAGCAGAAAATGAGTGTTAGAAATAATCAAAAAAATTAAAAGGACACTCACATAACATTATTAATAATATCTCTCAGCACTAAATATTTTTTAATAAATTAAAATAAAAGGATATATATATATGTATATACACAAGTATATGGATCTTGGGGAGAGGTATATTTTATAATTAATGAAAATTACTCATTTTATTTTAGTGCATCAAGCTATATAATAATGAAGCTCAAAATCAAGCTATTTAATTCACACCTTGATTTTAAGTTATCTCCACCTTTATCAAAGTGCCTTGGTTTTTTCTTATAAATCCATTTAACTTGTACTCTCTAACCAGTGTTTTTGTTTTTCTTTGTTGTTTATTTATTTATTTATTTTTCATTGAGGAATTTGTGAAGAGTTTTGGCATATCAACACTGAGAAAAACCAAAGAGAACACTGAGGATACCTAAGAGACTTCAATCATTTCATCTTTTTTTGCGGGAAAGAAAAAAAAATGTGTTGAAAGGCCTTTCTGTCAAGATACAAGGAGACAAAATAGCAGGAAGCATTAAACATGTTGGCTGAAGCAACCAACCAATTGTGCTCTTCCTACTTTAGCTCAGAGAAGAGTCAAGTATCCCATCTCTAGAGTTATGCTTCTATTGAGTTGAAACAACAATGAGTGGTTCAGCCACAATTTGAATAGTGCTGAGGTCCAAGGCAATATTTAGAATCTACAGGCTGTGTTGATTTAACTTTTAAGATATCCCATTGTATTTTATGTACATCATTGCTACTCTTGAAGAATATACACAAAACAATTTTTAACAAGGGAGAGTGTATGTTTGTGTGCATGTACATGTGTGGTATATATTTGTGCAAGAAATCTGAATTGGAATCCAAAGGCTATGATGAATAATTAATAGTTGCAGGTAAGCCTCACACTGTGCTCGCCACTTGTGCGGTTCTGTATCTATCTCCATCACACACACACACACACTCTCACTCACACACTCATTTAGTCCTTACTACAACCCTACTGTTTCCTCTATTTTCCAGATTAAAAAAAACAAAGTGAAGGAACAAGGAAATTCAGTAATGGCCTTAAATCCTACAAGTGGCTGTGTTCATGACTTAAACACTAAGCTATATATCTGGTTATTTCATGAATCCAACAGGTTTGTGAGTCATATTTATTTCTAAAATCTGCAGACCTGAGCTTTCTGAGAGACTAGGTCAGTTTAGATCATCAAAGCAGGTTATTTTTCAAAAAAGTAGTAAAACTCAGAGTCTTTGAGGTTCTCTCAAGGTATTGTTTATATCAGTTACGATTTCCCAAGAGAATCTTAGGCGGCATTGATTCAAACTCTAATAAATAAAACTAGTAAAGTTAACAAGTGTGAAGAACACGTTAGCCCTTCACTATTTATTTATTTATCTGTTTATCTTTCTTAATTTATTTTAGTATTCTTTGTTTTTACTTAGCATGTGTAAAAGTACTGGCTATACTGTAGAGCTCCTCACATCTACATAATGGTCTAGAGTGTTCAGGCTGATGAGTATAGCATCTCAGACCACAGGTGATGGGGAGAATGGACCACTGCTTATTTTCCTAAGGTTCTCAAATACAGTTCCTTCAAGAATCTGACATAAGCAAACTGCTGCTCTCCCAGATTTTCTGCCTAACATATTCTACTTATTCCCAAATCCTCATTGCTGAAATACCCCATTTAATTCCAATTTATCAACTGATACTCAGACCAAGTATTGCCTTTTTGTAAAGCTCTGATTCTTCCAAGTGAGTTATTTCTCCCTCTTGCTTCCATAGCACTGTACACAAACCTCTTTTCTACTATAACATTTCCTAAATGGATGTCTAAAAAATTTCAGGCAACAAGGGCTCTGCCATTTCATTCTGCACAATCCCAAGGCCTTGTGCAGTTCCTGATAACCGAATGTTATCGAAAATAGCAGTTTTGTTCAAGTTTATAAAGCAAAGCTTGTTCATCCACAAGATTATAGCTTTACTCAAAGAAATGGATATTTTTTTTCATGTACAATATGGAAGTCTCACACAACTGTAAAACTTGATTGTTTAAGACATTTGCAGATAAAGAACAGCTATTCTCTTTGGATTCTGTGACTTACCTTACTTGACTTGTGATCCACATTAAAAGTGGCAATCGCATCCTCTGTTTTTTTCCTTCCAGATTTGGTTATTACATATTCAGCAAGTTTGTTTGCTAAATAGGTCTTTCCAGTACCACTGGGTCCTGAGAGTATAATTCTGTGATGCTCCATCAACAAGTTAAAGTACCTTTGGGTAATTGGTTTAGGAATCAGTGTATCAAAAACAAAACTGTCCAAACTGTTTTCTTCTACCCCTGAAGGAAGAAACAAAGAGAGTAATAACACGGTTTACTGTTTTATATTAAAAAAATATGGTGTAGATCATCGGTAGAGATTTGTTAGCCATAGGAATGCAGTCCTTGTAAAATAATTATCTAGATATTTCTATCCCACAAACATATGTGGCCAATTTGAGACAGAAAGTGTATCAGTAAGAAGGCAGAGTGAATAGCCAAATGAAAACAAGCTGTTTCTTTTTGTTCAGGCTTCCCTCCACTGACTACTTCATGTTTTCCACTCATGTCTCCAGAGAGAAATGGAAGCATTAAAACTTTTCTCATAAAATCTTCCTTCCCTTTGAAAGCAATTAGTCTCATTAAGAACAAATGGGAAGTACACACACACACACACGTGTGTGTGTTCTTTGTTTTTCTCACTCTTTTGCTCTTCTCTTTATTACCTTCTATCTCTCATCCCAGCTGTACAAACACTTGAACAATTGAAGAATACAAATTGTAATGTTAGGCAAAGAATTAGGAAGGGCAACAACAGTATCTCCTTTTACTAACCCAATTACCTTAATCATAAAATCAAATATTGATAAATTCCTCTATTAACCTACAGTTTATAGAGATGCATTCTGATTCTTGAACATATACAAACAAAGAATTGTGGAGACAAGTATACATAATTAGTCACAACATCCAAAGCAAAGAAAACAGAATTTCTCATTACCGATTCTTGCATTCATTCCTTCTCTCTCTGTTTCTCTGTCTTTCTTCCTTCATATCAAGGACTGAAACCAGGGGCACTTCACCACTAAACTACATTCTTAGCCCTTTTTATTTATTATTTTGAGACAGGGTCTCACTAAGTTACTTAGGGCCTCTCTAAATTGCTGAAGCTGGCTTTAAATTTGTGATCCTCCTGACTCAGCCTCTGGAGTCTCTGGGATTATAAGATTGTGCTACTCACCAGACTTTTACTTGCATTCTATACCCCCAGTGTATAATTATTGAGTACACACGTTTATAAGTTTAAAATATGGAAATGAATATATTACTTTGGAACACACAATACTTTTTTTCCAGTTTTCCTCTGGTAAAAAATGATAATGGAGAAAATCTAGAATTTTGAAATTCCTTAAATTACATTTCTTTTTTTTGCAAGTTGGTGAATTTTCAGAATTGTATTCTTCTAAGTGTTACATCCCAGAACTCAAAAAAAAAAAAAAAAAAAAAAAAAAAAAAACCCACAAAAACAAAAATCCTGTAGTCTTTAGTGATTTTAGTAAGGTTTTCATATTTAAAAAATCAACATGGACACTTTAAACTAAAACTATTCAAGTGTTATCATAAATTGCAAACATAAAAACTTGAAGGAAGCCTGAAAAAAAAAAAAACAGAAGAAAAGGATATTGGTAAAAAAAAAAAAAAAAAAAGTTACAATTGTACTTTTCACTTTCATGATTACCTTTCAGGTTCACAGTGATGATGTTGTTATCACCAACAAGGTACCCACACGGCAGCAGTTCAGGCACTTCGAGGTTCTGGGATCTAATTAAGTCTCCTATACAGTAACTGGCAATGCAGTCAGAGCTCAGACCAAGGCTGGAGGATGTATCGATTCGAAGTACATATTCCTAAAATGGTACACATGGAAAAAGTCAGTCCAAACAGGTTTGACACAATCTGCAACAAATACAAAACAGGGATATAAAGCTAGTTGTCAGGAATTTTAGATATGGGTAATGTAAGAACTGTTAATATTAAACAGCAGAAATGGAGAGGTTTTCTGTATTTCAAATGGAGGAGGAAAAAAAAGCAGATGTGTCTATGCTATCTATGAAAGTGAAGTAAAACAGGTGAAAAGGAACACATAAGAACATTTAATATCAGGTTTTCTCGTATAACTCACCTTAAAGAGACGTCTAATAACACCATCTAAGACATCCCATTTGGTTTTTCCACTAACACCAATGGATCCTATCAAATATGCCTGAGATTTCTGATCCTAAGAACAAAACAGAGTAAGATAAACTTCAACTATGCATCTTATTACTATATGTTTCCTACTAAAACTTATTGATGTAGTTGGTGATTGACACAAAAGAATTTATTAAACCTGGAGTTCTATAGTAACAGATATACATGGAGGGTTATACAAAAACAAAATATGAACCTAGCAAATTAACCAGCCAAACAAATAAAATAACAGCAGTAGCAACAATAACAGGAAAGAAGACATTAGATGAAGTGTTAAGTCAAAGAAAATGATTTGTGATGTGTTCAGTAGAAAGGAAAGGGGAGGTGAACCAGAGAGAATGGCCTTGCAATTTAACACAGTTGGTACAATCCTACAAGAAGAAGCTTTTGGGGAAGAAAAGGGTGAAAGAGACAGCAAAGTACTACATCATATGAATCTTTGAACTTTCTCTTACTATTCTGTGATCTTATCTTTGATAAGTTCAATGCTTAGTTTTTTTCATTCTTTAATTTTATTACCATTCAATATAGATGTAAGAAATGTTGTTCATAAGAGTTTGATATTTGCATATTTATAAAACATGTCCAATTGTCAATTTATCAGAAAATTCAGTATTTCCAAGAAACTGCCAGAGAAAACTTTTATAATGCACATAATGGTTCAAAATGTGTGTGTGTGTGTGTGTGTGTGTGTGTGTATTTTGTAGAATGAGGTTTTGAGGAATTTCTAGAAATATTAGAAATGTAAACAACTCAGGATTTGTGGTTTGACTGGAGTCTCTTTAATATTGACTGGGAAAAGCAATTACAATATCAGTAAACATAGTTAGTTAATATATTACAATCCTGTTTCTAGTCACCAATTAGGTGGCCATTCAAGGTTGGTAGAATAATCACTGAGTCAAGGGTTAGAAGACATGGATTCTATAATGCACAACATCTCCCACCTACTTAAGAAATATGGCTTTAGGTAAATCATTTAGCTGACTCAAGGCCTCAGTTTCTTCATCTATAATATTTAACCCTATATGTGTAAATCATGATGAGCATTATTGAGATATAACCTCAATTAGAAGCCAGTATATTCTTTCAGAAAATAGTGGAGAAATCCACAACTGACTGGTACTGTTACAGATTAAATGCTTGTGTTCACTCCCAATTCACATGGGGAAGTCTTAATCCCCCAATGTGATGGTACTTGGAGATGAAGCCTCTGGGAGGTAATGACTAGGTTTGGATTTTATCATGAGGGTGAGACCTTCATGATCAGATTAATGGCCTTGGAGGGCATCTCTCACCTTCCCTCCCATTGACACTGACATAAGGTCATATGAGAACAGATGGAGAAGCTGACCATCTGGAACCCAAGGAGAGAGCCCTCACCAGGAACCAAATGGGCCAGAATCCTGATCCTGCATATGCCATCCTCTAAAACTGTGAGAAAATACATTTTTGATTTTTAAACCTCCACTTATATGGTATTTTGCCATGGCAATTGTACCACACTAAGATGACTACTTTCTTAGATGCTTTATTTAAAGAAATGTTTAAAAGACATGGTCCTTTAGAATTATTTCAAAAAGAAAAATTTATTTGCCAATGTTGCTAATGCTGTCAGAATGAGTGCTTATACAATGCTTTGTAACAGCTGCTTTTAAATTAGAGTTACTTTAGATTTCACTGAGACTATTAAACATAAAGATCCACTTGGGAAGAGTAGGCACAAACCTGCAGTTCAAGCATGAAGTTTATGGCACTGGATCCTTGGAACATTTGCTCAACATGAAAATTCACAAGTGCTCTATCTCACTTTTCAGACTCAAGTCCTTATATTGTTTAAAATTCTAAAGTATTGTTGTTTGATGGGGAAAAAATAGGATATTTACAAATTTGTATTATTGGCTACTCAACTAAAAGTTCAACTTGAAGTCTTTTTAGTTTTGAAAAAGAGATAAAATTAAGGAATATTTGAATCTAAAAGTTAAAATACTTGCCTGATCAGTTAGGATCTTGCTTAAAAATGATGCAGACTAATAGCATCAATGGAATTTATCCTGCTAAATACTACTGAAAATATAGACTACTGATTCAGTAGAATGTCTTTCGGATGTCCCCAATATTTGTTCATCTTACAGTGTTCTCTTTGTAGAAAGGTCATATTAACAGCGCTCTAGTGACATGTTACTACACATCATAAACACTACTTAAAATGTATAAGTGACACTCAAAGAGTATGGTAAACAAGTTGTTTATGTCAAGGAAATAAATTTTTATAAGTTTTAGTAGTGAAGGGTGTTGACAATCAATACTGTTTTCAAAAGAGTGAAAATGTGATACCTATGAGACACATTTATACTTTTATGGTGATGTCTCTACCTTTTATGCTTATATAATCTATTAAGGTAATACCGAGGCAAACATCTTCAATAGGATATTTATTAGAACAAATATTCAAATGTAAAATAAATTTAACTTATAGGAATTCTCACCCTCTAGTTATTATAAAGAATTTAAAGTTAAAGAAATACCTTTGCTCGACCATAGCCCTTGCTTATGGAGACTATAATTTTCACACTGCGGCCATCTTTGTGTCCAGTTGCATCTCCAGCATCATCTAGCAAAATATCTACCAGATTTCAAGAGAAAAACACACATTAAAAAAGTAATATTAGCTCAGATTTATTTACTGTTTTGCTTTCTCCATTTTTATTCTGTTCGGTGCAACTGCTTCCCATTCTGGCCAAACTGGTCTGAAAAACCTCCATTTATAAGATGAATTATGTGTTTGGGCTCATGTTTCAATCTAAGAACTTATTTCTGCTTCCAAAGCTCTTTATCCAAGTGTTGGATCATTTCCTTTGGATGAAGAAATAGTCCCCACCCTTTTTTCTATTACACACAGGTCTGGGTAATACCTAAGTAATAGTCACCATTATAACCGTAACAAACTGAAAAGCAATCCAATCCTTCTATCCAAACTAAAATATTCAAGCTCAATATTCATATAATTTGCGAATGCAAAGGTGCTGAGATTGACTGTCAAGTGAAATTATTTTCAGGCATATATTCAGTTGTATTACTGATTGTCTTTTATCTACCATTATTAGGTACTATTATTGAATTTTAACCATGACCTTATATTTCCCTACATACGTATATTAATTATTGATCTCCTGGATACTTGGATTAATAGTTTCAAAACCAATATGATGTTTCTAGTAATCATCTATAAGTTACAGAAACATGATAAAGCTGGTCAACCTTTAAAGCATCAGTTTTTAAATGTGATTAAAGATTAATTTTCAAGATCTTTTGTTCCAGTGACACAACCAGGTACAATATATTTGGAAAATTATTACGAAAAACTATCCCAAAGATATGTTTTCTTTCAATAATGATGCTATTATTGAGCCATGCTTAATTCGAAGATAGTGTCCTATGAGTACAGGAAACTTGGTTACCTGCTAAAGAGCACATGTGCCTGGTAACAAGCTGACTCAATTGCTCTGCCTATAATTTTATAGAGATGATGGCTGTGATTACAACATCCTAGAAACAATTAAATAAGATGGATCCTGAAAATGGAATGGCTCCTATTATATTAGTAATTAAGCATAGTTAATTTTGCAGAGGAAGGAGTCAAAAAATGGTATGAGGACAGTCTGTTGAAAAACAACTTCGTAGAGCTGGAGGCATATGAAAATTTCCAATAGAAATTTTTGATTCATCAACAACAATCTCCTGTACTGCGATTTAACTATTTTCATAGATCAATATCCTTATAGTCTTTAATTTTTCATATATCTTACTCAGAAATAAAAGTCTCTGGAAGAATTATTTCTTGTTCCTTTCTAGAACAGGATAACCATAGACTAAAACAATCTATGATATATCTCAAAGTCATTAGAAGAATATAAAATTCCTACACATTGAAATGATTAATGTTTGATGAGATGAAAATGCTTATTACCTGACTTGATTATTACACATTGTATACCTGTATTGAATTACCATAATGTATCCCATACGTATGTATGAATGTTGCCCCCCCCCCCCCAAAAAAAAAATCTCTCCCTTAAGTGTTAATTTTCTTGTTTCTAATTTCAGAAAATTAGAGTAGTTTTCCATTGGCTGTTCATACATAAACTTCTTGTAATTCATGTCCAAACTACTTCATTAGTACTATGCTCAACTACTTACAAATATTCAACAAATACCTATTAAGCCTATAAGATATCAGAAATTATGCTGGGCATTGAGAATGAATACCAAAGTGAGAAGGAAAATGAATTCCTTGCTCTTTTGGAGTATACATTCTCAAGTAGGTAGTTTCAGAATGTTATGTACTGTGCAGGAAATCAACAGGTCAGTGAAGCAGAAACTGAAGGGAGGAAGCTCTATAGGCAATCCTGGAAGGGTTCCTTGAGCAGGTGATGTCTGAGGTAAGACCAGAAGGTGAGAAGGGCTGGGCAGGTGAAGGTGAAGAGGTTTGGTCAATGAGAATAAATCAAAAAGCCTTTTGTAAGAGCAAGTGTAGGAGGTGATATTGAAGTAGGTTGTAATCCTTGGCAAGGGGTTTAACTGGATTGCTGATCCACATATCTGTTCAAGTTTGACTTTGAACAGGTCTCACTCCTCCTAACAGTAGGGTAGATTTACCATTAAATGAGTGACTATGCTTGACTTCTGTATATGTGGCTACAGCTACCTGAAGCAAAATTAACACCATAGTTAAAAGTTCAGGCACTGCATTCATCCAGATTGAATTCATATATTAGTTCTTCCACTTCTTAGTTACATGATCTTGAAAAACAAAACAAAACAAAACTGCTGTGTCATTTTCCTAAGTATTGGTCGTTTAATCTGTAAAATGGGCTTAAATAGCATCTAGTTTGCAGGTTATTGAGCATATGAAATAACACTTTTAAATCATTTTATCATGTTTAGTAAGTTTTGCTCTTTTGTGATTCATTTCCTTTGTGTTTATTCTAAATCCTATTGAGGGTACATCTGGGTCTTCCCTGCTCTCAGTATATTGACAGGACAATCAGCTAAGAAAATGTTTCTGGTAAAACAGCAAAACAGCAAACTTAGAGTGAGAGACCTATATATTTTGCTTGGTTTTTTGGTGGGGGGAGTAAGTTATGATCCCAAATGTTTATAAACATTCCAACTTGCCTTTTAGATATAAATGACTTAAGTGTATAATGTGAGGACAGCCATAATAGAACTTTCAAAATTTTTTACTTTTTGAAGAGATGTAATTTACAAAAAAAATGTAATCAAAATTTGCATGCTGTATCATTTTTTTAATCTTTATGTTTCTGCTTCTCCTCCTCCTCTTTACTTCTTCTCCTTCTATATTTCAATGTGATTTAAGGCAAGGAGCGAAGTGTCTCAGTTCTACACTGGCATATAAAATTACCCAGGAACATGAGCACTACTGGTTTTCAAGCGTCATCTGGTGGTTGTACTTTGTAATCACCCCAGATCTTCAAGTAAACATTTCTTAAACTAAATCTTATATCCTAAAATGATTCAATGTCATAGGAGCAGTTACACTTCATAATTGAACAGTTCATCAGATATTAGGATGAAATTATGTCATATGATTCCATTTGCAATCAAATCAAAACTGTACCCTTGTTCCATCATTAGGACTGTTGAATCCAGTATGTTCTTACAGTTTGTTGAAAATTTAATAGAACTGCAGACTGGATGATGTAGCAGCATTATGTTCTCTCTAGGCAACATCATTCAGGATCATCTAGTCTAATTTAGGAACTGACTCTGTACCCTGAAAATTCTATTAAGTTGCATTGCATTGAGTTATTATTATTATATTCATGAGTACTAACGATCATCACTGAAAATACTTATTATTTCTTCATCTTATTCATCATAATCATGGAGGAAGCACTTCCCAAGCAAAAGTGATATTTTAAAAAATGGTATGAAATTTGTGTCTCTAAGATTTCCTGTTTCACATGTTATGTGCTTTTAAAACCACAAGTAGATAGAATGAATTTATAAGATAAAAATGGGATCATTTCCAATAATTAATGTTAACATTTTTAGGAGAGGGTACTGTTCTCAGAATTCCAGGCTTGTCCCCACCTGCACTGGGCTGGATGGGCATGTGCATTAGCTCACCTGAGGTAACGGACTCTGTGATGTTCAGGTTGTTGAGAGACAGCCCGAGGGACTGCCTTGAAGAGGAAGAGGAGGTGCTGCTAGAGGACTCAGAAGGTGGCCGTGCAGGCTTTGCAGAGTTACCAGTCTCAGCCTTCAACCGATCGTTCTCAGCCTTCAGTATCTCAATTTCATTCTATTATCAAGATGGAAAATGTGAAAAATTTGAGCTAGTTTGATGAGAATGTAGCACCAAGGCTTGTATTCGATTTCTCTGTTAAAGCATGTGGTGAAGCTTTCGATAAGCAAACAAATTATGAAAAGAGGATTTCCTTTTAAACAAGGGGTTAACCTTTGTCTCTCACATATATATGCATTTCTATATTCTCAAGTGTAGACACCATTATTATAATAATTATTATGTGCTGGGAATTAAACTGAGGGCCTGAAGCATGCTAGGAAAGCAGTCTACTCTGAGGTCCAACCCAACCCTATTTTTAAAAAAATATCCAAATTTGAGTAGTTTTTATTTTTTGGACTTGATCTAATTTCTCATTTGAATTAAGAATAACATAAATCTTAATTCAATAGATCCTAACACTTTTCATATTAAAAGTGATATTAAAATCTCTTAGGTAAATAATGCCATTTTTAATTCTGTAAATTCATGGAGAGTAGGAAAACAGGACAAAACAAAAATAATATGTAAATTGATATAAAATTACTTCATAATTCTAGTTAACAAATGAAAAAGGTTTTGTTTTCTCAAGATGGGGCACAAAGCTCATAAAGACCTTCTTATGGATATATACAGTGGCAGATGAGTGTGCAGAGCATGAGCTTTTCTTATTTCCGTCATCTGTGGTACCAAGTGCTTACTGGTTTACAGTAACAAAATAGAAACTTAGTCTGAACACAGACTGATTTTGAATTTAGCTTTTAGATGCTTCCAAAAATACGAAAGCTTTACTTTTACAGATGGCATTCTAAGTCACTTTAACTTCAATATACAGAAATCTTGTGTGGAATTTGTGTAGTTTCCTCATTGTTTTTGTTTTTCAATAGAAAAGAGGCGAAGGTACTTGAAAGCCAGATTTCAAAAGAACACTTTTAGAAAGCCAACATGAAGGTAACTCATGGAAAAATAAAGAACCAAAAACTACAGTAGTTTCTTTAACACTTAGCGCTTGGCCCTAATCAATCACTGGTAAAAGCATTTTGAATGGCCCCTGAGTTCAACTGGCCAGTTTGCTCTCCTCCATCCAACCCTGGATTTGACAAAATTCTCTATTCAGTATTAAGAACTGAGTTGTGAGACTGAATAAACAGAGGACATGTCCACAGTGGGATTTAAAAAAATGGAATCTGTTGCATAATAACTGAGAGAAGAGGAAAGGCAGCATTGTTATCTCTCCATTTTGTTCCCTGAAGGTGCTTCAGCACAGACCTGCATCCGGTTCATGGCTTCCCGGATCTGATCAAGATGATGAGCAGAGCTGAGGGCCTCCAACCGAATATCTGTTAATTTTAATTCCTTTTCTCTGAGCTCGCTCTTCAGCTGCAGAATTATCTCTGCCTCAGCCTCTGTGCATTCACAGATCCTGAAGAAAGAAACAAACACAAAATCGGTGGTCTGGGAAGCAAGAGGATTAGGGAAAATAGTGCCTCTTTTAAAGGCTGAACTGCCACAATACCCAGCAGGTACAGAAATAATTTGCTGAGAAAAGGAGAAATAGTTTTATTAACCATAACGAATTTATAGGTTCAAAACTGAAAGTAGTTCTCTTTTTCTTTTAATCTTTTTTTCTTATTTTTTGAAATTTAAAAACAATCTACTAACATACAGAATATAAAGTGATCCTCAAAATTCCTGGTTGCTGATATCTCTATATTCTGTCCACTAAATTAAGGTAGAAGAGTCATAATATTACTATATTTCATTCTATATTTTTCAAGGGACTTAAATCTCCATTGGCAACATGTGAAATATTCTTTTTTAAGAGTCAAGCCTCAAAACTTCTCCTTTTGTAGAATTGTACAAACAATAACCATATTTGCCTCAACACCATTTTCCAGTTGTAATGAAAATCCAATGTAAATATTATAGAAAATAATTTAGAAAGATTAGTTTTGGACTTTTAAATAATGGATGAGTGTTGTATAATCTTCCTGTTAGGCCCAGCTGATTCAGGAGATCATAGCTAATGAAAAAAATTTCAGACCTCAGCCTATGCAAGAGGCTAGCTTGGGGCTACTGGAAGGTCATACAATGCTATATCCTTATCCTTATTATTATTTTTTTAGATAGCATCATTAAAATAAATCTGCCAAAAAATTTGCTTTATATTAACTAATGCATTCTCCATTTAAAATTTGAACACTAGATTGTTAATCACAAAATGGCAAGACGGCAAGACGCTATCTTCCTTCCCATGTAAATAATGAAATTATGTAGCCAAAGCACAGTGGCCTTGTTCTACATGACAGTTCTATAATAGTCATTGTCATGAGCATACAATAAAATCTGATTTAAACAGTATATGAAACAAAGAGAATCATTTCATTAAAAAGTATTTCTATCTTTTAAATGTTATGTTCTTTCTTGTGGTATCTAAAAGTGGGCTACTAAAGAAATGTCTTGTTCGATTATTTAATAGAATCAAAGAACACTGGAATGTAAGTTGGTTTTAGAAAATCAAAATTTTAATATAAAAACAAGGAGAAGGTATTTGTGGTTGTAATGCATGCAAGTAATTTTTGAAAACACACAAAAGCAAATATTGCTAGGTTAGAAACTGGATTTTTACAGTTTTCATGCATCACACCATTTTACCGGGATCTATGCTTGTAGATCACAGGGCCATTTTGTCGTTTCTTTGGTGGCCAGATAAGAGGTGACCTGCATGTACGCACAGTTAGACAGATACATGGGTAAATGCAAGTGAAAACAAGTGAGGATGACTGAAAAAAGTAGAGAATGAGATCACAAAAAACGAAGACAAATGCCGTTTACCTTTCTCAGTAAGATTTGAAAATGACGGGTACATATATGGTGCTGTAGTTGCAAAAGTACAACTGATTGTATTTAGAACATAAACATGGACTTGGCCTGAAGCTGTTTTTTTAAAAAGTGGGTCAGCATTCTGCAAAGGCAGTGACTTACGCTGAGGTAGATTGAGAGGGCTTCATGGATGCTGAACCGCAGTCACCAGCACTATGGGGCAACTTGGGAGATGCCGGGAGAGATGAATCAGTAAGTTCTTCAATGTCTGAATGTGAAGATGGGGGCTTGGTGGACTTTTTCTTTCCAAAGGCTTGTTTGAAAGAACTTCTCAGCTGAAACAAGGACAAAAATTACCTCTCCTGTCTGTTTGCACCTGGAGGGATTTTGCTTTGGGGCGTTAGTTTGCAGGTGCCACCTAGCCACTGCCTGGGGTCAGTATATATAAGCAGAGTATTAACAGTTGCAGCACAGTATCTCTAAAAAAAAAAAAAAAAAGATACTGCATGTTGTTTTTTCCTTTTATTCTTGTATTAATCCAGCACAGCGCAAACATGGAAGGCTTTTAAATAGTGCAAGGTCAAGGGCATGGCTGTCAGAGCACTCATTTAAAACTAAGTACCTTGAAGGGATCTCCATTCCCAATGCTTCTCTCTTCAAGGCAATTTGTTTTAAATGGCCACTTTAGCGCTACAATCAAGTCATATCCTGCTGACAGTACAAACTTAAAAAGCAAAATGAAATCAAATTCACCTAACACTTCATTAATTGTGATTTTCTATTCAAATTTTCAATTCCCAGACTATTCAAAACCAGAATTGGTATCCCCTACAGCTCTATTCAGAAAGTGGTTTTACTTCTCTTTAAAATTTGAGATTAAAATGAAAGACACAAAGAAAAGACATACAAGGTAATCTGTTTTTAAAAGGTATAAAAGCCTACTGCCAAAATGAATAGCATTCATGCCAAGGTAGGGTTTTTTGTATAGATGCATGCCAAATTGTCCATGGTTTTATATTCACCTCACTTCCTCTAGAGTTCACCTTGCAGAAACATGAAAGAGTGTGGAATTACAAATCAAGGGAATGAAGGCTGATCAGTATTTTAAAATATTACCTGCATAAACATTTTTTTAAAACAAAAAAGATTTTTTTCATTATTTATAGAAAGCATTCCTGTAATATCTTTTGATAGTTTTGTGTTGGATTTCATCTAGTACTGTATTTATTTAAAATGTACCTTTGTCTCGGTGGTTTAAAACAAAAATACCAAAACTTTCACTTAGTTGTTTTCAAACTATTTGCAGTGACCACATCTTCCCCTCAGATTTTTAGTGGTTGCTTAATATTATCATAAATGATAATATCTCTAGCAAATTTAAGGTCCAGTCCTGTTAAAGTTCATTTCTGCATTTTCCAGTATGTTCTACTGGTAACAACAACAAAAAACAACACACACGCTAATGCAGTTGGTTTCTTATGGGGTAAAATCTTATTCACCCTGTAGTCCCTGTTGATTCCAGGGGTGTGTGTGGTGTTAGCTTTCAATGTCTGTTCTTTCCTATTATAAACTCCAATTTTCCTTTTCCTCCACCATTACCATCACCATCACCACCACTACCACCATCATCTTTATCATCTTATTCCTCTTCACCCTGACAATAAAACCCTGCTCTTAGTTCTAACTCTAGAATATATGCTCTTCAGCACCATGCCAGCCTAATCTCGGTGATTAGTGCAACATTTGAGGTGCCAGAGGTACTTGAATGGAACTCTGTCAATTGCTGCAGACTTTTAAAGCTCCAGAGAAAAAAGCCTAAGTCCTTACACCAGAATAAGCTATTTAATTAGATGGGTGATGAGGGCTTACCCAGTTTTTCTTTTTCTTTTTCTTGGAGTCAGCATCATTACCACTGCCAATGCTGGAATGGCTTGTGGCACTGTTGATACTGGAAACACTTTCAGAGGAATGCTGTCTTCTGATGCGGAGATCTAGCAACACAGAGTATCACATTTGCTCATAAAAGTTGCAGTCTGAACAAAGTAAGTCTTCGAGGCTTTCTGAGAGTATGTTCTCCAACAAAGATCAACAGGCTTTGTACAGATCATTTTATTGCAGTTTTGGTCTTACAAGTTTAATAAAGTACAACCTTATTTGCTTTAATTAACTGAGTTATCTACATTAAGATTCATCAGGAATCTCATATGAGTCTGTAATACTGATGCTTTAATGAGTTCTGAATTTTGTCCAAAATTGAAATGCCATGCTAGTGATTTCTACTGAATACCCGGATCAAACAGCAGTTCCAAAATGATTTATTCCAAATGATTATTTCCATGGAGTAAATGGAAACTCATAATAGGATGAGATTAATTCTTTTTAATATTTGTGCTTTGAATAAAGTTTCTAAAGCCAAATATACTGACTTTCCATTTCATTGAATCATGCCATGTTGGAGCCAAAACAAACCTAGGAAGTCAAATAAGCACATCATCTAGCAGATGAGGAAATTGAAGTGCAAAGGAGTTGACTTGACCAAGGTCAAAGAAGCAATGAAGAGAAGATCCTCCAGAGAGAGTCTAGATAGGAAGTTTGTAAATTAAACAGAGAACATATGTCATATGGTGCTATTCTTCCAACATACTCCCAGTCCCTGTCTGTGACAAAATAGTAAGACTAATAATGATGCTTAGTATGCCCCTGCATACTTAATTTTACTCTTGAAGTAAACCAATGAAATGATTTTATCTATTATATATAATTGATACATGGTAATATAGCTTAAAAATAGTGGCACGAATCTCAGAGCTAGGCTGAGTCTAATATCTATTGTGCTACCTGCCATGTAATATGGTTGGGCTAAACTTCCCCAAAGCATGCAGCACTTCTCTGGTTATACAAGATATTTTAAAGAGAGTAGCATTTGATATTTTATAACTTTTAAACATTTTCACTTATTCTATATAAGATTTATTTTGTAAATATCAAAATTAAAAGAAACTAAAATTTTATTTACTTACAGTAAACTTATATTAAGTGCTAGTGAGTTACCAAGAGAATTTATAAGGTCAAATTTACTTTTAAGACATCCTTATTAACATACTTAATTGGCATCAATGCAGATTAGCCAAGTAAAAAAACTTAAGTGGAACATGTAATATGTGAAAAATTACCATATAACTTTAAAAATTTTTCTTATAAAAAATAGTATAAAATCAAGCCTGTCCAGTTGACCAATTTTCTGATGAGTAAAAATGATCCATGGCAATATAACCAATTACTTTAAGAATATATAATAGGGCTGTGGATATAGCTCAGTTGGTAGAGTGCTTTCCTTGCATACACAAGGCCATGGGTTCAATCCCCAGCACCACAGAAAAAGAAGAATATATTATAAATGAGTGTACATGTAGGTATGTGATTTATGTATATACATATACATACTTCAGATATATATATATATATATATATATATATATATATATATATATACACACACACACACACACACACATATATCAGCAGTAAATAGCTTAATTTCCTTATTAAAATAGTTATGCTGACAAATTTTGTGGGAGGAGAAAACTGAAGTATTTTTCAGAATCCCTAGAGTCATAAAAACACTGATTCTCATAATTTAACAAAAAAAATTACCTATTTTAAAACCTAAAGGTATGTACACTATTTATTTATGTATACTGTTTTGATTCAATAATAAAGGAACCTAGTATCTGTTAATCAATATGAAAGTCATATGAATAAATCACAGAAACTTATGTGTAGGTATTTATTCATGTTTTAAATTTCTGCTGCAGTTGGCTATTAGCTTTTCTGAATAAGGTACAGCATTTACTAACTTTTCTCAAATAACTTTCACAAAGAAAACAGACATGTTGGAGATTTCTAGAGTTTTTAATCATACCTGGAATTAATAAACTATACTTGATTTCACTAATCTCAAAGTTTTAAAAATATGGGTAATACATTTTATTTTTCTCTAAAAATTTCCTTTTAGTGCTTGTAAGAATTTGATTCAGTGTATAGGGCATCATAGAGCCTTAACCAATGAATACAGATAATCCAAACACATGGAGATGCCTGCTTTAAAAGTATCATTTTCAGTTACACATTTGTTCCTTCATTAATTTTCACTTCTCACCCTCTGCCCCACCAATGCCACTGTTCAAGCTACCCATATCACTTACCTGCTCTACAGCAAGAATAGCTATCCAACTTTCTCACTTTCAAACCATTCTATACACAGGAGCTACAAAAATCTTCTTAGAAGAAAAATTTCATCACCACTGCCTTACTTAACACTATCTCCTGTTAAATGTGGCCTCTGTGGGAAGGTCCTTCCTGACTATGCAACCTCTAATAGGTTTCCTTGTACCCTCTTTTTCTATGGTAATCTGTTCTTGTCCACCTTAGAATGACTGTGGTATGAACCAGCTATACCAATGATATACACGATCATTTATTTTCTGCTCTCCCACTAAACTGAAAGTTCAGTGCAGACAAAGACCATGTTTATTTTTGGTTTTACTGTCTATGTCCAGGGCCTTGTACAGCACTGTATGAAGTAATCCATTAATATGTTGTTGTTAAATGAGTTTATTCTAATTGTTGATTCAATGCAAATCTGTTTGTTTACCATTATTTCTAAAATATATTTATCACTAATAGTAATTTAATATATGTTTATATTTTGACTAATTTTACATGGTACTCTCTTTTCTTCAGTACTGGTAATCAAACCCAGGACTGCACTCATGTTAGGCAAGCACTCTACCACTGACTTATACTCCCAGCCCTATTTGGTACTACCACTGACTTATACTCCCAGCCCTATTTGGTACTTCTTAAAGAAAAAGTACTCCATGTTTACACAGAGGTAGTGACTTAAAGAACAGTATATTTGGAAAAATTAAAGTAAAATTTCCCATGCCTTCAACTGTCAGCTTTAAAATAATTATGTTTGTTACAGTTGTTTTATATATGAAATATTTATATATGTGTGTGTGTGTGTGTGTGTGTGTGTGTGTGTGTGTATATATATATATATATATATATATATATATATATATATATATATATATGACATATGTAACATGGATATATGTGATAAAATATATATTTACCTTTCATTGAAAGGAATTGTGGGCCACTTGGGTACAGAGTCACTCATTTTTAATCTTTGTATTCAAAAAACAAAATTCCCAAATGCACAGCAGATGTTTAAATGTTTGTAAATAAATAAATATTATTTTATTATAGACTACTTATTCATCAGACTGTTAATAAATGTTATGTATAAATATAGATGAAAAGGTAAATTAATGAATTTTATGCAATTTTGCATAATTTGATCATCTATAAAAGTGTTGCTTTACTCCAAATAGTTATGATAAGATTGTATGCTAAAATTTTACATAAAATTATTTTAAAGGTCACAAAAACTGAATTTCAATATGATTTCACAGACATATAAACTATACAATCCACTGAACCCATAGAAAGATACATAACTAATCCAACTGATTTTTATTTATATAATATTAATTAATAGTCAATGTAATACAAATAATGTTAGAGTCACTGAATTTAATATTGTTTTAATATTTCAGAAACAGTCTAAATGTCTTATATACTGTCAACTCTTCATAACTAGTTATTTCCTTAATTTTGGAAATGTGGGCAATTATTTTTCATATTTTTGACCAACTTAGATAATGATTATTTTGTTCCTCTTAATCACTAACCCTCCCACATTTCTGAGCAAAGGAATTCCGATTTTTTAATTCTAGTAGATATACTAAGCTACCTGTTGCCTAAGATAAAAGGAATCCTTCCAGAAAGTTTCACTTCAGTGACTTGTGCTGTATTAAAGAAGGGATTAAGCCTTTTTAAATCCCTTCTGGACCTATTTACGACATGAAGATTTAGAACATAAGCTGCTTTATTATAGCTCTAAGATAAGCTTTAAATACGCAGTAATTTTCCATGCAGCATATAAATCAACTCCCCCACATGGAAAATTGCTAAATTCTTAACAGAAGTAGCCCATAGAAATCCAGTTTGTCTTTCAACTTAAGTAGACCTCATTTTACATAACTGTTTTCCTAAAATTTAAATTCGACTATATATTCTTAATTATGTTATTCTTTTCTGTGAAATTTGAATAAGCCCCTTTAATGTGCAAGGCAACGCTATAGGCATTGGGATGAAGAAACAAACCCTCCTACATAAATCAGGACAGACAGACCTCAAAGGCACCAGAGTATAATGCAAATTTTAATAAGGGAAGTACAGCTATTTCCAGAAACATATCACAGGAGACCTCATCCAGTTTAGGGGGACAAAGAGGCATATTTAAGCTAATTCCTGCAGTTTTCCAAAAGTTTTTATTCTGAACAAACAGGGCAGAATGTTCCAAGTGGAGTAAACAGACTGTTTAAAGAACTTATGAAGAATGGAAAGAAATTCAGGAAATCTGAAATATGGAATACACAGTGTAATGAAAGAGCAAGAAATATAGTCAAGGACAGCATCTGGCATATAATTAGCAATCACTAAATATTTGTTGAATATAAAGTTGGTGAAGGGAGATTATCTCATGTCAAGGAGCTTGTTTTTCATCCCAAAGGCAAGGGGGTGTCTGCAGATGCCTGCTTTTAGATGATTGCTCTGACTTTAGTTGAAGAATGGTATAAAATGGGGTAAGGTTAAGAGAAGAAAGGTTATGTAGGACTTGGTGGTGCCAGATCAGGGAAGAGTCAAAGGATGGTGACAGCAGGATCAGGGAAAAGTAAACAAATCTATCAACACTTAAAGGGTAGAATCAGAAGAACTTGATGATTCATTGAGTCAAGAGAGATGGAGTTATGAATGACATCTAGATGAAAGAAGGGTGATACCATTACTGAAGCAAAGAACACTGGAGGAGAAGGAGAGCTAAGAGGGAAGTTTAAGTTTGGAGATGTCATGTTTAAGGTGCCAAAAAAATACTCAAAGATACCCAAGGGGAGTTCTTTCTTGGCAACTAGAAAAGATAGAGCTCTATCTCCAGAGATGAGCCTGGCCTAGAGATACAGAGACAGTCAGCGGCACATAAATTATAATGATAGCTACAGCACTAGGTGAGTTTATATAATTTTGGAAAGGATGTTCAGAATCATTTTGGAAGAGAGTTTAGAATATCAATAATTAACAAATGTATATAATGAAGTGAACACACAGAAAAGGAAGAAAAACTTTGAAAGAAATTTCAAAGGATAAGAAGGAAAACCAATAATGTAGGATGTCTTTGATATGAGAAAAAAAAATGAATGTGTCCACCAGAAGGAATTAGACATCAGTACCAAATGTGGTTGTCATGATGAGTACAATAAGAATTTTAGCTATTTCCCTGGATTAAGTGCTATGTTAGTCATTGTTGACCCTGGAGAAAAAAGCTTTGGAGGAGTAGTTGGGGATAGAATTTATGATCCTATGGGCTGAAAGGTGATTGGTGATTGAAGACTTTGAAAGGTTCCCAAATTAGTTTTACCAGAACTTATCTGGAAATAGGAAGAAAGATGATAAGAACTGAGGATTTAGGAAAGAATTTTTTAGCTGGAAGAGAGAATGAGACATATTTAATGCTATTGAAAAGTGAATATGAATAAATTGAACCTATATAAAGAAAAAATGATATGACAATAATGAGCATTTCTTTAGTGGTGAACCAAAGGGTAGAGATGATGGCAAAAGGAATATTTTCATTGTTTAAAACTGTAGAAATATGGTCATAATAAAATGCAAGCTGATTTCTAGTCTGTTTTCTCATTATTTTAAAATTATCTACAGAACATTGTCCCACCCAGGAGAAGTTGCTCCAAATGCCTGAGACTTGGTATTAACATACTGATTGCTTCATTTTTATTTGCAGATCTGGATTATCATACTCATTTATAGGCTTGTTTTGCTTAAGTCAATATGCACATCACCTCTGCCTCCCAGATCAAATGGAGAGAATATATGTAGAACTATAGAAGTCAATTCATTAAGGTCAATTTAAAAATTATTTGACAGAGGAAGCTACTGTTCTCAAAGTCTGCAATTCTGGAATTCTGATCCCATTAATTTCTCCTTACTCATTAGAAAAGGCAGTGCCACTGAGTAAATACAACTCCATTCTATAAATAAAACAGATACCTATTATTTAAGATGAAAAATGATACCATTTCTGAATATACCTTTTGGAGGGTGGTCTGGGCCATTTAGGGCCCCCTGAATGGCCGCCTGGGCAGCAGAGTTCTGGGCCTTCAGCATTTCAATGGTCTCCCTTAATTCTATAAGTTCAGACTCCTGTGAAATAAACAAGAGTTTAGAAGCTTTAATATTTAGAGACAAAAATGAAAGCCCTTGTTCCTAGTATATCATCAAATGGGTTTGGTTTTATATAGTACCAGACTCCTGAGAGATTTGGATACTTGGCTAAATTTGTCAAGTTGTATCTAACAACTTCTTTCTTAGTTAAAGACGAATCAATTTTTTTCTTATTGTCCTATAGAAGTGATTTAAATAGTCATTAATTCTTTCAAAGGGTGGTACCTAGAGCTGACCAGTGCAAAGCAAAACAAGGTATCATATCACTCATTTTAGTTATCAAACAGTCATATTACCTATTATTATATTAGATATTTAGATAGCAGAATAATAGTACTACATTATATTGCACTTACTTTCAAGTAGAAATATGCAGTGATATCAAATAAGTGACTATAGATTCTGCCTGAAGTATTTTGCACTTTGGCAATAATTTCTTTGAATCTAAGTGTAAAATCTGGAACTCATTCCTAACTCACTCCTGTTAAATATCACCTTATTAAATTTTGCTGATATATTCAGATCATCCTAGATTCTGACACTTTTCATCCAATAAAATTGATAATATGGGGACTCAGCTTCTCGAAGCCAGAGCAACATAGGAATTAAAACAGTTACTGGAGAGATATAAAATACATACCCCTTAACTAATAAATCACCAAAAAATCAGTGTAAAATCAAATTTTTATAGTAAATGTATTTTAAATGTATTCTTACTGAATTTAGAATAATTTTGTTGTGTCTCAATGCAAATTACTATAACTTTTGTCTTTCACAGTTATTTAAATGAATTATTTTAACAGAAATGACTTATAATGAGTGAGATAGGATAGCCAGAAGGTGTGTGTGTGCGGGGAATGGGGGGGGGTACATGATAAAAGAAAGAAACCAAGCTCTTTCAGCAGAGACATTTACACTAGATTCTTAATAGTAAGGGGTATCCTTCTTGCCGGAGGCACAATCCCCAAAACTCTCCTTATATCCTTGTCAGCATCTTGGAGAATTTCTTGGTAATTCATTTGGTATCCATCGTTTCCTCAAGCATCTTTAAAAAAAAGCTAAAGAATCAGGCTTGGGTTGTTAACTCCATGACAGTTCATGCATCCTCAACTGTCTCCCAGAATACAGAAAAAAAGATCAGGATTTTCATTGCAGAAAATTGTTTCATACATAAGAATACCCAGTAATTATGCTAACTTTAGATTCTTAAAAACAGTGTTAATTGAGATGATATACAAGTTTGGAATACATACTTGATAACTTATGTATCTATTTTCTTTGGCTATCTGATCTTAATACAGAATAATTATATTTTAAATAACAAGCAGATACTCTTAACTTTAAAGGCTTATAAAACAAAGGACCTCATAAGAAATCAATAATAATATGCTGGATTTATAGGTGTGTCTTCAAATACTTGAGTGTAACCAATCCAAGTACATTTCTTTATCATAAAAGTAAAACTATCTGTGGAAAATTTCTAACCCAATTCATCTTAATATCCCAGTCTCTCCAACTTCTATAATTTAGGTCCTTGCCCAAGTAGCGATAGATAACTTTATCAAAACTTAGTATATTTTTTCTATTAAAATAAATCCCCCAAGAGATGAAAAATTTCCTGGAAATTGATTCTGCTTCCACTAGAAATTTATTCAAAAGAATGCCTATAGTACATAATTAATAAATCACATAATCTAAATCCAATTTTATAAAATAAACACTAGGATACATGTTACATTTTACTTGAATCCAGATTTTTATCCTTCAATTTAAAATCAATAATATTGATACTGTGGAATAAAAATCTGTTAAAATATTTGGCTAATCTTTAAAAGAGAAAAGTGAACATGAGGTCTAAAAACTAAGCTTAACTTTCGGCTAGTTGATTTATTTCAGTGTTAAAACTTTAATCTTTTCTAGAGAAATCTCTTCTAGAGACTGCTTTTAAAATGATTAAAAGTGGAGAAAGTTGTTCAGGGAATTTTTTTTAAGAATATTGTGTTCAGTATTCTATAGCAGAATGATCCCATTCTAAAATTAAGGTTCTTTTAAAAAACACAAATATTAACAGGTTAGCTATTACTTAATGTGGCTCAGTAAACCCAAAGGAAGAATAACTAGGTAAGAAAATGTATTTACTATATTTAACCTGGGAAAATAACGTCTGTAAAAAATTGGTTCAGGTAAACTTAAAGTACCTGCAATGTGTCCCATTGTCTTTAATTTGAAAGAAAACTAAATTTTAGGCCTATTGAGGTAACCTGTTCCTACTTGCACTAGTTATTGCCACATATCTACAAAAACCTTCCTTCTTCCTTATTTCCTAATGAGGTCTACTCTCATTTTTGTCATTCAAGCTATATCCATCTTTTTCTAGGCATTTTCATATGATTTTTTCCCCTTTGCTTTAAATATCTTCCTGTCCCTTAGAGGCCACAGCAAAATGTCTCCCTAATTGCGAAACCTCTGTTTTCATATCAGAAAATAAATAAATAAATAAGGAAGGAAAGAAAGAAAAGAAGGAAGGAAAGAAAGAAAGGAAGAAGGAAGGAAGGAAGGAAGGAAGAAGGAAGGAAGGAAGGAAGGAAGGAAGGAAGGAAGGAAGGAAGGAA